ATTCATTTCCATATTTAAGAAAAACGTCCGTAGGACGAGCGGTTTTATCTACTGCTGGTTGCTCGATTGGTAGGTATTGCTCAAAACTAACAAAGTCTGAGTTTAAGAAATGGACATTCATCTGTGAAAAATGTTTGGTCGAGTTGAACGAGAAATTTCAAAAATTTATTCGAAAGTACTATTATTAGAGACAACATAACTTGTATTTTTCAACAATAGAATTTGATTGTTAAAATCTATCATGCCATGACATGAGACCGTAGAGCCGGCACCTGAGTCATCCGCCTCAATGAAATTATCACCATTCAGAATAATGTTTCGATTCGAAATAAAAATGTAATGTTATAACCAAAAAGCTTCAATTAAAATATTGATATTACCAAATATCATTAAAAATTGTTTATTTTTAAGATGTAGTTTCAATGGAAGGATTGTCTAATTTTCGTGAGGTTATGTGAATCAGTGAGGCGTGGCAATTCGTTTTTCATTTCGGTCTCTTGTATCTGTTCATTGTATTGGTGAGTTTTATTTAATGTACATATTCATTTGAGTTGTCTCAGTGGAGTAGAGTCTAGTCTCTGTAATAATCATAATATCACATTAAACCTATGAATTTCTATAGAAGTATTATGCAAAGTGTTAATATTTAGTCACAATCATATTTGATTTCATTGGTTCAATTTGATTAGGGCAGTGACAGCGATTGGTATTGTGAGAGTGATGCACAACTAGGCCCTGAAAGGTATGTATGATTCAAGAATAATTACACCTAGATGTTAGTTTCATGGTTGGGCAATTTTATTACTGTCAGTTTTATCGTTGTTGGAAAGAAACGTTTTTATCATTTAAAAACTCAGTTTTGCTGGCCTAGCTTTCAAATTTTTCATTATATCATCGGTTTGATGGAAACAATCGCTGTATTAGGAATCACACGTTAAAAGGTAAGACCTCGTTAGTCCTTAGCTCGCACAAGTTTCGACTTCTGGAAAAACATATTTCAAACAGATTTAAACAGATTTAGGTGGCCTAGTCTAATGTTTTCATCATATTGTATGTTTAGATGAAATAATCGGTTTAAAAAATGTTTCTTTTCAACTTCTGATTCGCTAAACACGCAAGAAAGCGCTACTACCCATTGTAAGTTCTATTAAAATTATAAATATTGCTAGTTCAGTGCTGAAAAAATCTTTAGGACATTTCCTGCTCTACAAGGATATTTTTCCAGATCTCAGATATCTCGAATAGTTTTTGAGATATTAACAAAAATTCTAACCTGTTTTTACTTAGTTTTTGTTATTTTTGCAATTGTTGCCTACCCTTCTTCAAAAGTTTCATTAAGTTTTCAGATGCTATTCTGAATCTAATGACACCTTTGATCATAACTTTCGGCCTTAAAAGTCAGGTTTTCGATAAAATGGCACATTGTGAACCAGACTTCATAAAAGTTTGTGAAAAAAATTATTTTGCTTATTATAATTCTTTGAAGTTGAAAATTATTGGAATGTCCGAAAAATGATATAGAACTGTTTTTCAGGAATGTTACATTATTACCGTATTCGCAACCGTATTACGCCATTGTCATTAAGTAATTTATAAACAAACAGACGAATTAAGTATTTGATTTTTTCTGTTTTTCAATTTTTTGTATTATCCAAATTGTTTTTTTTTCAATATTTAAATGTAATAATGGATAATTATTTATTTTTCCTTTGAAAATCATAATTGCCACTTTTCTGATGAATTATCAATTATATTGATTAAACATCATGATAAACAAACAGATATAAAAGGTAATTTAAATTTTCAAAAGCCTCGTTCCCTATAGGTTGCTTTGTTGTTGTACATTAATCTTGAGCAACCGTTTTTATTGTTATTATTGTAATAAATGGTAATGAATAGAAAATGGAAAAAAATCTTTAAAAAATATACGAGGCTGTATTCAGTATACTATCCAATGTAAAACAATATGGCACAAAAATTCATTTCTTCAAATCGAATAATTTTTTCAATGAACAAAAAAAATTTGATGAAAGGACACTATGAACTGAGATTCTTTCGAATGGCTCTTTATTAGAGGAACGATTTTATTTGAAAATCTTTGAGCAGTGATTTTTTAAAAGAATGTGAAGAATTAAAAAAACATGGCAATTCGTTTTTCATTTCGGTCTCTTGTATCTGTTCATTGTATTGGTGAGTTTTATTTAATGTACATATTCATTTGAGTTGTCTCAGTGGAGTTAGGGTCTAGTCTCTGTAATAATCATAATATCACATTAAACCTATGAATTTCTATAGAAGTATTTATGCAAAGTGTTAATATTCAGTCACAATCATATTTGATTAGGGCAGTGACAGCGATTGGTATTGTGAGAGTGATGCATAACTAGACCCTGAGAGTCATGTATGATTCAAGAATAATTCCACCTAGATGTTAGTTTCATGGTTGCCAACTTTATCACTGTCAGTTTTATCGTTATTGGAAAGAAACGTTTTATCACTTAAAAACTCTGTTTTGCTGGCCTAGCTTTGAAATTTTTCATTATGTCATTGGTTTGAAGGAAATAATCGCTGTATTAGTGAATCACACTTAAAAAGGTAAAACCTCGTTAGTCCTTAGCTTGCACAAGTTTCGACTTCTGAGAGTTGTCGTTCGTAGGGGTGCGACAGCTGGTTAGCGGAAAACATATTTTAAACAGATTTAAACATATTTAGGTGGCCTAGTCTTCAATGTTTTCATCATATTGTATGTTTGTATGAAATAATCGGTTTAAATAATGTTTCTTTTCAAATTCTGATTCGGTAAACACTCAAGAAAGCGCTACTACTCATTGTGAGTGCGCTCATTCGGTGCTGAAAAAGTCTTTAGGACATTTCCTGCTCTTTAAGGATATTTTTCCAGATTTCAGATATCTCGAATAGTTTTTGAGATATTTACAAAAAATTCTTACCTGTTTTTACTAAGTTTTTGTTATTTTTGCAATTAATTCCGACCCTTCTTCGAAAGTTTCAATGAGTTTTCAGAACTTTCTGAATCTAATGACACCTTGATCATAACTTTCGGTCTTAAAAGTCAAGTTTTCGATAAAATGGCACATTGTGAACCAGACTGTTCATTGCCGAGCTGAAGAAACAATAGCCCGTCTCCTTTTCGCCTTTTTCCAGTAATAAATTTTGCGAAAGATTCCATTCTCTTTTCTACCTTATACCGCAGTTTCATCGCCTCTGCTACACTATGAACCGATTGCGAATCCCCTCCACCATTAAGCCTACTTAATTTCGACTGGCGTTTCATCATAAAACAAAACGCAATCGTTCATTCCGTCTTTATAACCGAGCAGGAAGAAAATCGATCAGTACTCAAAAGTTTCAAGTTACAAAACTAGTCTAGCTGTTAGTCGAACGTGTCTGTGGTTTATATTGTTTGTTTTGAAAGTGTAATTAGTAAAAGAAAATGGGTAGTGCACAGTCGGCTTTGAATTTTGGTGCTGGTCCAGCCAAATTACCCAGAGAGGTGAGGATACTTTCGAAAAATTTATATTGAAAGTGAAAATGGATTTTAGTTCGAAAACAATTGGAACTAATAATTTAGATAATTGTTATGAAGCGCGTGATAAGTCAAATGTTTTTTTGTAAAACTCCTACTAATTACAGGAGTGAAAGGCAAATACCTGGCATTCTAAGGAAGTCGTTATTGTTTTGTGAATTAATTTGAATGACAAAAAAAATACACAAATTGATAATTTTTATTGAATTTTAATAAGTACGCATTAAACCGCGACGATATTTTCTATTCATTGTTTTACCGTTTATTTTCACTTCATCTTCCAGTAACTTTCCGTTGGTAAATATTATTTTTTCATCGACCTTATTTTGAGTATCTTAACTCCCATAATCTGAAAAATATAAAAAATGCAATTTATTAACTTTATACAGATGTAGAAAAGGCAAACTCTTTAGTTCGTCCCGATAAATTACTGCATATTTTTCACTGAGAAAAATGTTATAGTTATCAGTAACTTGTAAGTATTCAATAATTTTGCCTACTTATCTCAACATGAAAGGTGAAACAACCCAAAAAAGTTCGATAAAAACCCTGATTTCCTCCACAAAAAATGACTTTCTTTCAATAACTGATATTGTGTTATTTATTTGAAGTTATTCCTATTGAACTGTTTTATCGAGTAGGAATGAAATTTGTCTTCCACAAACCCTATGTTTCCAAATTTTATTCTTATATCACTCTTCAGTATTCATAATTCTTTAAAAAATTATCAGTGATAACCTCCTGAACTTTTCAAAGTTGTTTCTAATTGATAAAGAACGACATTCCCTCACTTCCACAATATTCTCCTGAATTTAGGTTCCATTGATTATTTTGAGACTCCAAACTAATATAGTTTTAACGTCTGATCATTAAAATTAATAACCGACATTATTATCTGTTAAATAGATATTTTTGAAAAATACGTATCTACCTATGAGAATACTTCATACTTGTCAGATACTTCGTTCTGACTTACCGCCCTTTGTGAGAGATAATCGTCTGTTGATCTCAAAATTTTTCTTCGAAAAATATCCGTTATTAAAATGTCAATACCAATGTGAAATGCTGACCTTTTTTCATCTGAATACTCATATTCCTCTCTTACATTGTACATTGAATACACATTTTTCCGCTACATTTTAAATGTGCTATTTGTAATGGAACCTTTGTCGCTCTTTCGCTGTTTATAGTTCTTGTGTCAAACTTTGCTATTTCTAGAATTTCAAAAGTATTCAAAAGTCTAATGTTATTGACTGATCTCAACAATTTTGAACCAAAAGGTTTACATTCAGATTCAAACTGGAATAAAAAACCCTCCCGAAATATTTACTTTCATATGAACACTGAATTATAAATATAATAACAATTCGTTAAAGAATTGAAACACAGGAACGTTACCCAATATAATATACATGAAAGAGTTATTTAAGATATAATTTCTCACATACATGGAACACTTTGGAAATTTCCCACATTTCAATTCAAACAAGATTATCATTATGTTTTTTTTCAAATTAGCGGGAAATCAATAACAAAGAAGTTATTGAGGTACGATTAAAAGTCGAAATTGACCTTCTCAGATAAAAATATGCCACTAGAGTTTACCAATTTCATGATTCTATGTTTTGGGTATTACTTTACATGAATATTTTAGAGTAACTGAATATGCGAAGACTTGTTCCTACATATACTTGGATATTAGATTTTAAGTCTTATCCGAAATGTCCACTAACTACATAAATAAATTATCACTTTATTTTGGTTTTCGAGATAACATAATCAAATATTACATGAAGTGTGTCTGAAAATACATATTATTTGTAGGTTTTAGAAGATGTTCAAAAGGAATTTCTCTCTTACCAAGATAGCGGAATGAGTTTGATAGAGATGAGTCATAGGGGCAAAGAATACTCCAAAATTAACAAAGATGCCCAAGCAATCATTAGAGAATTACTGTAAGTATAAGAAGTGAAATATTTCAATAGTATAATTATGATAGTTGATTGTAAAGTTATATTGAAAAGTTGGTTAAATCAAAAAGGTATCGATCTTTTATGGATGTATAAATTTTTATGTTGTAGATTGATATTTTTAATACATTCATTATTATTTCAGTATTTCACCCCAATATTAGTACCAAATTTGAGATGGATCTATCGTTGAAAAGGGTAAAATTTATCATTGGCAGTATTGCCGAAATAATACAAACTTTTTTATTCCAAATAGATCTCCCTATTACTATTTCAGTAATTATGCCATTATATTTTCAAGATATATATATTCAGTTCGTAGGTGTATTATATTGAAGGAATCAAGTAATTGCTGTTAATAAAATGAATAGTACAATCGAGGAGGCTGTGAAAACAGTTGAATTTCAATATCTTCAGTTGGGGCATCTTTTTTCGATAACTGTGCCTTAAAATACTGTCAGTATTTTGAGGCACAATCTGTATATGAATTACATCCGATAATATCCTTCGTGTTGAATTTCTGAATCATACCTACATACGTAGGTCACCAAACCAAAAAGCTAACAAACGTCTTCAAACTCCTGAACATCAACATCACATACAAACCAAACATGAAAATAACACAAAAAATAAACAGCTATAAAAAGAAGAAGGCAAAATCCTAAACGTAGTGTACAGCATACAATGCTCGGACTGCAACAAATTCTATATCGGCCAAACCAATAAAAAACTGATCCAAAGGTACGACGAGCACAAAAAGGCATACATAAACCCAATAGTATATAAATCAAACCTCGCAACGCACGCCATACAAAACAAACATAATTTCCCCCCACCAGAAAACATAAAACTCATAAAACAAGTAAATAAGGGAAACCGTATGGACATCTGGGAAAACTTAAACATCCCTAAATTTTAAAGTCATAATTCACTTATCGAGGAACAAATACAAACCAAAAGATAACAAGACCTAACATTCAATATACTACACAAAACAATACACACTAGAAACAGTAAACCTAGACAAACTCCAACACAAAGGATATTACCTGATGTAACCCAAATACAGGCAAATTCACCTACAGTACCTGGAGTACCTGCACTAAGGCGTTCTGACCGCATAAAAAAACAAACAAGAGGATGAAACGTTCATATATATCCAGTTCCTATCATACCATAGATCAATGAATTGATAATTGAAACGATATATATCCAGTTCCTATCATACCATAGATCAATGAATTGATAATTGAAACGATCACCATCTTTTCATACTATTGAAAGGTTCGAACTTTCGTTTCAGACAAAAAATCTAACGCAAACTGTGCTTCTCAACAATCGTCTCGGACATGATATGTTGGAAAAATAATATTTACTTTTTGATAAGTTCGAAACAAAATACCAAAGAAATCTGCATGTATATATTTAAGCTGGAGAGAACTGACTATTGAAAGAATGAAATACGTGTATTTGAGAAAATTCTGAGAAACATTATTTTTTCTTACTTCAAGGGTATGTGCTTCATAGGCGAGAGACCATAAATCAAACGGATCTGTATCTGTAGAGTAGGGTGAGTGAGTGTAGGCTTACAGCACTTAGGCCACATGTGACCCATTTTACATCCTCCCGAGTAGTTGTCCTCCTAGGTCATCGTCCATCCTGTCCTTTCCAGGAAGGTTGACAGGTCTCTGGGAGACATCTTTATATCGGCAGGTTTAGGCCAAGACTCGCCGAACACACACTCTCTTATTGACGATAGGCATAGGACATGCCTGACAGTTTCATCTTTCTGTTCAAATATCCTGCACAGAGGTGGGTCCATTAGCTCCATATTGTGGAGGTGTTTCCTTAGGTGACAGTGGCCAGTCAGAAATCCTACTGTTAAGCGTAGATTTTTCCTGGTCATCGCCAGATATTTCTTCGGCGCCAGCTTCCCAGGGTCGCCCAAGGTGATCCTGGCAAGATTGCATACTTTGATTCCGTCCTATCTCTTTAGGGACTGAGCATGGGTGTGACGTTTGGCTAGTTCCGCAATTGTCGAAGTCATCAGGCCATAGGTGCCACTAGGTCCTAAAATTCTTAGTCCTGGCGCTTCCTTGGCTGTAATGCGATTGCCTTCACTCCTGTCGTACCCTTTAATCCACCTTAGGATAATGTTATTATCGAATGGATGAAAAATGACTCAATGCACACTTTTCATCGGTAAACCTACTTGTGATCCTATAACGTCATTAGTTTGAGGATGGTCGCTAATGCACGAATTGTTTTTCATTGTACTAGTTGAAAAAGCTTCAATATCCCAGAATCGCAGATCGCCAGAAGTTACCAAAAGGTAACTTCTAGCGGTGGAAGGGTGAAGATGAATTTCTAAAAGCCCCATTCATCTAAAGAAAGTTTTTTGCAACAGACATATCTTCCACCATTATGCTTTGGAAGAAAGAACACAGCATTTCAGTTGCTTTAAATTCCACAAGATAAACGAATCCTAATTTTACAATTTTTACAGTTTTACAGTGTCTCCCCGCTTGGTCTCAAAGAATGATTGATTGCGGCGTTTTTGACCACCAGACAATAAGAAGTGTTCTCGTGTCTCAAAGGGTGAAGAGATTGTTTATCTGTAGCATAAACTCGGGTTTATGTAGGTATAGCATAACAAGACGCCTCATTGTTATTATCCCTTTACAAATAAACATGAACTTACGAAGTTCATAAGATCTAGGTTTTCAACAATGTCGATTACACTGGCTTATTCATTGTCAATCAGGTTGTTCAAACAAAACTAACAAGGTAGTGGTCTCAAATTGCGAAACAGGCCAATTCAAGCTTTCTGCTACATCAAGTAGTTCATCCCCGATAACTAAAATCATGCATCTCTTGCAATTACAACATACAGTGTATTTCTTTAATGCCCCTCCCCCCTTTATTTTTTGAACGGGTCAACTCAAAAATTGAAATTTGGGATAATAAAATTAATGCATGAATACTTTATTTTGAATTGGAATTGACAGATGAAACTTTCAAGATGGCGACTGGGCGTCATCTGGGAAAAAATTAAATGGAAAGGAGGGTCTTGCGACACATCATTTTGAAGCTCCTGACAAATGCTTCACAATCCTAGAATATAATGTCAATATCTTCAACTACTACAAAATGGCGGAACTTTTAATAATTGCCTGAATACATTGACATTTAACTACATAATATAAGGTAATGAGCTTGAGGTCAGTTCAGAAGATGCTCGAAATGATTGCCTTGAACTTCTTGACATATGAACAGCCTATCCGATATTTCACGCCGAACATTTTCGAACACAGTAACGTCAATATTTCTACGAATATTTATATATCCAATATTGAAGCAGGTTCATTTTCGTACACATTTTGCTTCAAATAGCCCCAATAAAAACAATTCCAAAGATGTCAAATCTGGCGAGCCGGCTGACCATTCTGTAGGACCTCGACGGCCAATCCAACTACCGGGAAAAGTAGTATCCAAATGGTTTCTCACTTGTCTGGAGTAATGTGGTGGTGCTCCATATTGTTGGAATACAGTATCCATATCGAATTCATTAGAATTCGCTTCGACGATTTCAGTGATGAGAGGGTCAACAGTAGTTTCCAGCATATTCAAATACAGTTTTCCTGTTAAATTTTTATCAATAAATAGAGGTCCTACAATATGGTTTCCCAATATTCCTGCCCAAACGTGAATTTTTTCAGGATATTGAGTATGTGTTTCCCGGAAAACGTGAGGGTTGGTGTCACTCCAATAACGGCAACTTTGTCTGTGAACATTGCCGTTTAAATACATTTGTCACTAAAACAAATATTGTGGAGGTAGGTAGGATGTCGTGCAATGGTTTTTGTCATTATTTCGCAGAATTCTGTTCTTCGATCAGGGTCATCTTCAGTTAATTGGTGTACCATTTCAATTTTATATGGATGATACCTATTCTTTTTCAAAAGTCTCCACACAGTAGAAGGAGACACCTCACAAACATTCGCGACGGAATAAGTAGACTGTTTAGGATTTACTACCATCTCACCAATTATTTGCACTTGCTGTTCTTCCGGAATGGACGGATGACCTAGGGGCTTTTTGTTATGTACACTACTGGTAGTCGTGAATTTGGATACAAGTTCCCTCAAATATTTTCTACAGATAGGACGATTCGGAAAAGGTTCATTGAAAATCTTTTCGGTCTCGTGAAAGTTACGCGTCGCACTGTAAATAAAAATCGCTTCAATTTTTTCTTCCAATGGACAAGAATTGACCATTTTAGATATTGTTGACGTGGTACCTTTCTACTAGTAAAATCGAAAACTAAATGAGAATATTGTAACTGAACAATGATGTTCATTGTCGTACTGACATTTTTTGACGTTTATATAAACGAAAAATAACTTAACAAACCTTATCGGGTTGTTGGAATTGCCATATGGCAGATAAAAAGGATTTCTAGAAATATCGATATTAATGTGTTTGTCTTAAGGAAATTAGTAAATGTTCCGCCATTTTCTAGTAGGTGAAGATATTAACTTCATATTCTAGGGTTGTGAAGTATTCGTCAGGAGCTTCAAAATGATGTGTCACAATACCCCCCTTGAGGTTTCATCTGTCATCCTGTCAATTTCACTTCAAAATAAAGTATTCATGCAACAATTTCATCATCCCAAATTTCAATTTTTTCAGTTGACCCGTTCAAAAAATAAAAGGAGAGGGGACATTAAAGAAATGCACTGTATGCACGTAGTTTTCTATGACTTTCGATAGTTTCAAAAAAGAATCATCTGTATAATGAATTTAATTCCGAATGTCTTGAAATCGGTAGGTAACTAAAAAGAGTCTGAACTTGTTTAAAAAAAAATTACAACTCGGTATATTATAGCTTTGACAGTTTCCAGATTTTATATTTTATGAAATATATGAATATCATGATTTGTATTCCAAATGTGAGAGAAACGGCGACCTCTATGAAAAAAATCATGAACATATTGAGAACTAAATATTGAAAGAATAATAATATCGCGAGTTTTTTTTTTACTTCAATGGAATGTATGATATGTTCTGAAAAAAACAGATTTGCAATCTAAGAAAACAAATTTTAAATGAATGGATATTCAATTACAATAAAACCAAAAATAACCGAATCGAAATATTCGGATGAGTTAGTTGGAGTATGGGAGTGTGATATTCAATAAAAATTGAGGGCATATATGTGTAGAAAAATAAAAAAGTAATAAAGATAAATGAAGCAAATAATAAAAAAAAGGTTTCAAATCAAGTTACTTCTCGACGTTTTTATTGTTAGTGTCCACAATCGTCTTCGAGTGATAATCCTGAATCCGACACTGGACTTATCACGAAATATTCTTCATGATGGTACAGTAAAAAATCAGCCGGTGGCCGGTTCAAATTTCATTAGCAGATTGGCCTGTCAACTGCATAACAGTCCTAGCTTATAATATCAGTTGACTAGAGCCTTATGCCATTGAAAATTGTAGATAATGAGTCGTTGGAATTTGGAATCAGGGTTTCGATATCTTCTTAGCTTTCATATTGTTGAATTGGACACCTATCTTAGAGCACGTGTGAAGCCCGCATTACAAAAATAAATGTAAAAGAAAATAGTAGTTTCGATTGTCCAGACACAGTAGATATACTTTTATACAGTAGTCCCACTTAGCGTTGGTCCCTTTGATGTTGGTGTCCAGGAGTTTGTTTTTGCAATGCTGACGTATTTGACACTGATGACATTTCTCCCCACTACAATCTCAACCAAAGCGTCTAAACACTGCTCAACATAACAACTATTCATATAAACTGCTCCAAAAAATACAATCGATGAAAACCATGTTGGGAACCTGAGAAAATTGTACAAATGATAATTTTGCATTTGTGTAATATTCAAGTAAAACAGATCATTTGGACAATGATGAACTATGTTTCAAGTAGATTTTAAAAATTCATGGGATCGGTAGATGTTCATATTCGGATGTGACCAAAATATATTTTCATTTCAACAAAAAAAAAGACAAGATAAAGAATGAATTTTGTTATTCGTGAACCATGGTACGAATCTATGCGAAATTTCTTTGTAGTGATTTTTGGGGCTAAATATAGTAATAGTATATTAATTTATTGATTTGAGAATTAAAGATGACGGACGAGTTTGCAGATTCGATTATATTAAGGGCCAATTATTGAAAATATTCCTAATCGAATTCATCACTCAAGATTTGAGAATCTCTAGAGCCTATTTTTTTTAATTATGTAGTACTATTTAGGACTTGAAGAAGTAAAAAAGTAATTGTGTAGTGTTCAACAAACAAATTTTTCAGTAGATTGGGTGAAACCCATGAAATTCGACAACTATGGAAGGGTTGCGTGCCCGTCTCGTCGTTTGCGCAGACCTGCGCCTGGGTCTGCGTGTAGAAAATTCAAACCAAAAATCACCCGAACTGGGATTACTGTATATAGTATAATGTGGTCCAGAGGTGAACTTTTATATACTTAAAGCCAGTGCCGGGTTAAGCCAGCGCGTGGCCTGTAGCAATTCTGTCAAGAAGCCCTTGGTTTGCTATATGTTCTAAAGTTAAGGGTATTAAATAAAACAAAACTGATACAAAGAAACTTTTCTGGATTTGATTTGGGCAAATTCAGAGATGACACATTCAATATCGACTTCTTTAAGCAAAACCTTGCTCAAAATTGATAGGCATAGTACTGTCACTAACTCTCAATAATCTCGAAACATGATCGATATGATAATCGATTCAAAAAAGGTCCTATATATTCCTTTATTCACTCATGAAATCAATGTATATTTTATAATAAATCAAGCAACCACAGATCATGACTGAGTTAAAAAAATAAACAGTTCGCCTTTTTCTCGAAATAAATTAGATATTATATAAAGCCATACTTTTTTGAGCGCAAATGTTTTAGGATGTTTTCGGACCATGAAACTGAACAACCTTCGCCATGAAACATAGGTCACAAAATTTTGGTCTTCCCATAGGAAATTGATCAGCTGATCAACAACTTTGTATGGGAAACCGAAAATTCGTTTTAATTTTTCAACATAAGTTCACTGTGAAAAGTTGTTCACTTTCATGGCCCGAACACGCCTTAAAATATTTGTGCTTAAAAAAATATTACCTTATATAGTAATCGATTATAATCAAACCGAAAAGTAGTGAAACGCAATTTTCAAAAGGGATCTGCTCAATAGTATTACGAAAAATAAAAAAATGTATTTTTATAATAAACAAACACAACATCGAATAGTTGTTGCTTTGGTCTATGTAAATAGAACTTAGTTCTTAGTTCCTGAACAGTGAGCCAGACCCACTGGGTTTTCTACCTTTGTTCAGATTTTTTTGTTTGTTAAAGAACCGGAATACAAGAGTCCGCGTTTGACCGTGTTGACTGTTCTAGCATTGATTTCAAATAGTAAATGTCAATAATTCTTCGCAGAGTTACTGTGACGTTGAATTTTCCGCTGTAAATACTCTGTAACTCACAGAATGCCATTTTTGTTTGAAATGGAAAATATTGCAGGATATTTCTTACACTAATTCCATATCTAATTTCAAACTGATATTTTGAAGAAAACAAATTGTTTGAGATGAATGAAGTTAAAAACTGCGAAACCAATTTCAAAAAATCTTCATTTATCAGCAAGTAACATGGGACATATTTCTTCTTTTTGTTTTCATTGAAGAAAATTTCAATAATTAACCTAATCCAAGGAATCCAAAATGTGCTTATGAAAGTAATTTTTTTGGCGTTCGCATCGGAAACAGTCGCTAGTTGGACGTAAATGTATTTTGCCATTCTACGTTTAAATTGCATTCATGACCACTTTTAATAAATGGAAAACAAATTCAATGAATGTGACCTCTAGTTTGATCAAATGAAAACAATGGAAGTCGTTGATGAATAATGAATTAGTACCAATAAGTTATTAGATGGGTTCATAATCTCGAAGACGCAAATTGAAAAAAAATAATGATTCAATTACAGAAATGTTCCCGACAATTACAAAATTCTATTCATGCAAGGTGGAGGTTGTGGAGCCTTTGCAGCGGTTGCGATGAATCTCATCAATAGAACTGGATCCGCAGATTATGCAGTAACAGGCACTTGGTCGGGTAAAGCCGCCAAAGAGGCTGCCAAATATGGAGAAGTGAATCTAGTATTTCCCAAAGCTGACAAACCAGGCAGTATTCCAGATCAGAGCACATGGAAAATGAATCCAAATGCTTCTTACGTTTATTATTGTGATAACGAAACTGTTGATGGTAAGTAGCGTTCATAGTATCTTTTTGATATTTCGTTCAAAATACTACATCAAAAAATATGTTGTTCTCCAATTGGCATTAAACGGCAATTTCAGTGACATTTATCGATCATAGAAGTGACATTTTTAATGCCTTAGCATTCAATGCCTATGCTTAAAAAAATAATTTTTTATTATTTTTTTGACAAAAATACTCATCAATTACATAACAATCAATTACAATCAATTACATAACAAAGTAACTGTAAGTATATGATTTTGAAAATATAATTGGAGGCAGATACTTATGAAAAGAACAGACAGAAAACAAAATAAGTTTGAATTCTACAACAACAAAGATAGCGGTAAATGCCTGCCGGATAACAATTACTTTCCTGGCGAATAGCACACTTGACATGGAATTATATCCTACAGACATTTATGCAAGGTACCTCATAGAGATATCAGATGTTTCCCATTCATCCAGCAGCAGTACTACGCTGAAATCAATCAAATAAATCACCTACAGACCGATTTAGAGGTATCACCTCGAAAAACATCTGCAAAACTAACATATGTGAGGTATCTTGCATAAATGTCTGTCGGATATAATGTCCAGACACAGAACATTACACATAACAAAACGAACATAACACAGAACATAACAAAAATGTAAATAGGATTCTATAATGTTTGTTTGAAGGTGGTTGACAATGTTTCGTGGTGTATTTCATCAGTTCGGACTTCCATTGTCTAATACAAAAAACTAAAATTACAAGGAAATAACATACAAGCTACAAACAGAAAATAAAAAATTGAAATATAAATAAAAGCTGAAAATTAAAAAATATTATTAACAAAAATAAAAAAATAAAAAATAAAAATTAAAAGATTCCAAACCAAGTTACGTCACGACGTTTCGATTGTTAGTATCCACAATCGTCTTCGGTTGAGATACGTAGACGACACCTTCATAATATGGAACCATGGGAATGCAGAACTAGACATTTTCCTGAAGCACATCAACAACGTAAGTCCTTCCATCACGTTCACAATGGAGAAGGAAGTCCACAACGAATTGTCTTTCTTAGACGTATTGGTGAAGAGGACCGACACTAAATGGGAAACATCTGTATATCGAAAACCCACTCACACAGGACAGTATCTGAACCAGAAAGCCAACCACCATCAATCGACTAAGAGAGGAATCATCAAGACTCTACTAGGCCGTGCTTTCGAGCTCTGTAATACAAAGGAGTGGTGGTAGAACAGGCTTTAGCTAGAAGACAGCAAAAGCTCCACAAGGAAGAGAAACCGCCACAACTAGAACTTGTACTTACCTACATCAGAGGATTATCGGAAAGGATTGGGTCCAAGTATAACATCAGGACCTGCTTCAGATCTGGGAACACTATCCGTAGAGTCTCACAAAAAACAGGCCACCAAACGCGGACTGCGATTCAAAGAATTGCATTTACCGGATACCCTGCGAGTGCGAAGAATCAATACATCGGTGAAACTAAGAGGCCATTGAAGGCATTGCTGAGCACAAGAAACACACACAGCAAGGAGAAACCAGCAAATCCGGAATAGCAGAGCATATTTGGACTCATCAACATAATATCAAGTGGGCTCAAGCTGAAATCATCCACAAAGAGGAACACTGGTTTTGGAGAAAATTCAAGGAAGCCGCGTATATGTTGTCCAACAATGCATTTAGTCAAGCTAGCGTAGAGATACGTAACATATGGAAACCTCTTATCAAGCGAAAAACGACCAATTCCCGCCAAACGGTCATCTCCCGCTAAAACCAATGAAGCATAAAGAGAAAAGAGGGGATAGGTGAAAGGTGAAAGCACCAGAATGACCTATAAATAGTCAGATCTCGGAGGAATGAGTCCGGTTATCACCCGAAGACGATTGTGGATACTAACAATGGAAACGTCGTGACGTAACTTGGTTTGGAATCTTTCAATTTTTATTTTTCATTTTTGTTGATAATATTTTTTGATTTTCAGCTTTTATTAATATTTCAATTTTTAATTTTCTGGTTGTAGCTTGTATGTTATTTCCTTGTAATTTCAGTTTTTTGTTTTAATAAAATTGTTATTTTCGATTAATCTTTTATTTTTTTCAGGGATTTCAAATCAATTTATATTATATTAGACAATGGAAGTCCGAACTGATGAAATACAGGATTCTATAATGTTAATGACTGTTGTGGATATTTATATTAATGAGCGACATTACTGCACTGCTTCGATAATTCGTTTTGCTCTTTGTAATCATAGCATGATTATTTTTACGGCAGAGAAACATATTGACTGTCTTGGTAGTCGCGGTAGTGAAGCTGTTATTTTTCTACCTATTTTCTAACTATTTTCGTTAACCAGCTGCCGCCTCCTTACGAACGATAACCCTCAGAAACAAGGGTGGATTTATGGGGGGGCGGGGACAATCGGGGTATCTACTTCACCCGACATCAACATTCAATAAATTGTTATTTTCGATTAATCTTTTTAATATTTTTTCAGGAATTTCAAATCAATTTATATTATATTAGACAATGGAAGTCCGAACTGATGAAATATTATCTTTCTCTACATCAAGACCTTAAAGATATCACAGAAACTTTCCGTGAAAAATCTCCATAAAACATATTTTATGTGTTGGTTAGCTTTGGAAAATTAATTTCTAGAATATTTTCTCTGATAGCTACAAAAGTTATTTCAATGTTGGAAGTAGACTGAAGGACATTGCGAAAATAGTTTTCCAATTTAATTAGTTCGGCATTGTTAATTTGAAATATTTTTGCAGGCGTTGAATACTCTTTCATTCCTGAAACCAATGGTATACCTCTAGTAACCGACATGTCTTCAAGTATAATGACGAAAAAACTGGACATATCGAAGGTAATACTTTCATAAATACTGAAATTTCAGAAAGGTAATCAATTTTCATTACTTTTCAGTTTGGTTGTATTTTCGGTGGAGCTCAGAAAAATATAGGACCATCTGGGGTGGTAGTAGTCATAATCAGAGAAGATCTCTTAGGAAACCCTATGAAGTGTTGCCCATCAGTATTCGATTTCACACATATCTCCAAAGAAAATTCGGTGCACAATACACCAGCAACTTTCTCGTAAGTATTGTCATGCCTAACAATTAAATTAATTTATCTATTTATGAATCCCGAGGAACTTTTCTGTTTATTGAGTACATATACAAAGGTCAAGAACAATATTTTTTTAGAGAAAATATGGAAAAGCGAGAAAAGTGGTGGGATTATTTTCTTGAAATTCCAAAATTAGTTATCATAGAAGCTGTCCTTTCAAAAACGGCAGAAATGTAACATCACAAGTCGAGAAAGCTGGAAAATAGATTTCTCGATGACACCACGTAAAATAGAAGTCTTACGTGCTATGTACTTTCATATTGCTCGATTCATTAATAGGTAAACCATACAGTCGGTAATTAGTCTGTCAGTTTCAGTAATGAATATCAATAAGTGAATAGTATAAACAATTAAGTTTTATTTGCACACGGTTGATAATATCGATAGAAAATGGCATAAAGATATTAATAAGAAAGTGTGAATGGTCAGTAACAAAAAATCTGTTACTGGTATATTTCAAGTAAATGATATAGTGCAACTTACCTTCTAACAGCTCTCCTTTAATAATATAGTTAGGGAGCTAACTAATTTCGTTACTCAATAATCATTTCTGATTATATAAGTCTCAGTATGGTGTGTCCATACTTTTCAGCAATACTGTCAAGGGCATACACTTCTTCATGTTTTTGTCTGTAAAACTTGGTTTTTGGTATAGTTATCTTCAAAATACAAATTGTTATCCATTAAAAAACTTTATATTTCATCTTTCCGAATTTTCATTCCGTACGTTGATGAGCTGTCAAACCATTTCTCAAAAATATTAGCTTCCATGTTCTTATGAAAGTAATTTCAAAGAATTCGAAACCCATTCTTTACTTCCTCCGCAATGCACAATTATTATTCGCGTATTTTTGTGCAAAAAAAGAAATGGAATATGATTTATTTTTATCTTTGAAGGAATAAAGGAAACGCGCCGCGTTTTGAGTTCAGAATAGTGACCGTCTCATCATTTTGAATGAGTTTCAAAATTTTCTGCCGACTAAATCCAGAATATTGACCGATGAAATATTTGAATGGATCAAAATAAGAGCAATCAATATATTTGAATGAAATGTTTAGCCATATTTTCAATTTAATCGCAACTAATAATATGAACATTCAAAAATGCCTCCTGAAAGTACTCATTACATAGCTACACTATGTCTAAAATGTGGGAAGATTAGAAAGCAAAAAATTTTTTTTCCCAATCTTTTGTTCATGATGACACATAATAAATTAATTCGTCATGGTATGCAATCATTTCTCAGGAGTGGTGGATATTTATACTGAAAAATTAAATATTTACCTTAGTATTTNATAAATCCCCTATTTATTAAAAATGTCACAAAGGATCAATGTGTTTTCAAACCATTTCTCAAAAATATTAGCTTCCATATTCTTATGATAGTCAACATTGCAGTCCTCAAGTTTGTTTCCACATAATTTCATAGAATTCGGAACCCATCATTTACTTCCTCCGCAATGGACAATGATTATTCGCGATCATTTGTTTGCAGGCATGTTAGGCGTACACATTCTCGAATCATCAGTCCACCTTTTCGTAACTATGTCGTGAGTGTCATACCAGGTTTCGTCCAAATAGAAAATTTGCCGTTGTTCTTGTCTATATTTAGTTATTTGTTACAAGTATTTGTTACACAATTACAATATTCTTCTGCTTTCCATAACTTGACGTTTGTTTATTATATTAAATCAAATCCTAGTTTCCTTATCCAATTCTGAAGAGTTTTGTTTTACAACAAATATGTACAAATGTGTGGTATTTCCTAAAACAAATGTTCAAAATGGCCTCCATTCCCCTAAATACACATTCGGCATCGTTTAAAAATTAAACGAACTTTTGAAAGAAGGCTTCTGACGAAATCAATTTCACTTTCAATGATTCGATGTCTCAGTTGTTATTCGCCAATTATTTCAACAGAATACACGTCATCTTTCATAAAACCCCAGAGGCAAAAATCAATAGGGTTAAGATCTAGACTTCTAGACTTCTGAAAAGGTATTCCCTAACGTCACTATTGAAATGTGCTGGAGCGCCATCTTCTAAATGCTACAAATTTTGACTTATTCCTGAATTTACCTCTGCCAAGTATGGTCACTGAAAAAATATCAAAAAAATCTTTGATTTTCATAAAGAAACTGCTATAACAAATGATCAACATTAGCTGCAACTTTCGCCTTTGAATCATTTCAAACATTAATTGATCTTTTACCCAATAAACAATTGAATTGTAATTTGTTTTCGTTTTTCTGTCGAAAAATTTCAATTTTGAGTTTGAAGAAAAAGTAAACGATTATAAACAATAAAAAATATAAGGATTTTTTTTTCATGTTATTAACGAAAAATTCGAAGCCTTCCTTTTTATCATCCTAATTTGTTAATATCAATTTGTGTGTGTTGTACTATCATTGAAACGCATTTTTCTAAACGTTAGAATTTCAATTTGTGGACTAGACTATTAGTATTTAATGAAAAATCTAATTATTTCTAAATGAGCAGAAAATTCAGATACTTGCAAAAGTTTTGAATTGGAAAGGTTTTATTTTTGTTGAAAACCAAAACATTCTTGAACCAGTTTATTATGTATTCGCCCCTCTCTATGTACAATAAACATTTACAGATATGTATGAGTTTTAACACAAATATTCTTTGCAGGGTATACGTGATGGAAAAAGTCTTGCAATGGATTAAAAGAAACGGAGGATTAGATGAAATGGAAAAGCAATCCAAACAGAAGAGCGATCTTCTATATAACACAATGGTAGAATCAAACTCATTCTACACGTGCCCCATTGACGAAAATGCACGCAGCAGAATGAACGTTCCATTCCGAATTGCTGGCGGAGATGATAAACTGGAAGAGTTATTCCTAGTAGAAGCAGAGAAATTGAGGATGTATCAGCTGAAAGGCCATAGATCAGTAGGCGGAATAAGGGCAAGTCTCTATAACGCAGTTTCTCTAGAAGATGTCCAGTTATTAGTGAAATTTATGAAAGAATTTCAGAAAAGCCATGGTTCAAACTAAACGTAATTTCATCTTCCAAAAAAACTTAGCTAATTTATTCTTATTTTTTTATCTGTTGTGAACTGTTTGCAATCAGTGATTTTAGTACATGACTGCTCGAGATTAAAATATTTATAGAGAATTGTTCTTATCATTTTTCATTCCAGAGAAAAATACTCTTTTCTGTTTTCCTACATTACGTACTCCTTTTTCTTGAAAATTTTTGCAATATAATGCAGATTGTCTATTTATCGTAAATATTGAACTGTGCATAATAAAAAGTAATAGCCGAAGTTTTCAGCAGGGCTTTTTTATCACTGATGCAACTGCTGAGGTTGTATATTATTAGTGGACGTGTTAGGAATCACACGTTAAAAGGTAAGACCACGTTAGTCCTTAGCTCTCACAAGTTTCTCAACTTCTGAGAGCTGTCGTTCGTATGAAGGCCGTTGATGCAACTGCTGAGGTTGTATATTATTAGTGGACGTGTTAGGAATCACACGTTACAAGATAAGACCTCGTTAGTCCTTAGCTCTCACAAGTTTCTCAACTTCTGAGAGCTGTCGTTCGTATGAAGGCGACAGCTGATTAACGGAAAAACAGATTTTTTTTAAACAGATGAAGGCTTTCCATACCCTCAGTCCTACCACCTATACAAAATTACAACGAAAAATATCAAAATGAATACATAATACCAATATATTATAACTAATATTTTATATTTTACTTGTGTATAAGTTAGGGATATTCAAATCATTTTTAAACTTTTACTCTTTCCTAACGTGATGATTCCAAACCCTAATGGTAAATTTATGCACACTCCATAAGCAAATAACAATTATTAGTGACATTTTTCAATAGAAACGTTTATGGTCTTCAGTCTTTAGCTTTCTAATAGGCTTTAATTGTATTAATTTTTCTACTAGTACGCATCTAGAGCGCAAATGATCGCTGATTGACTCATTTCAGAACACATACACTAGCAATAAAAGCACAGTAGAGCTTAAACAGTGTCCCAGTCAAATGTTTAGCGGAAAGTGAAAAAGAACTACGCAATGTTTGTTTGAGAGTTGTTGAAAATGAAAACACTGATATTAAGAATATTGGAGAAGATACAGGGGTTGGCAGAGAAACTATGAGAATTTTTCACAAAAATAAATTCTATCCCTAGAAGCCAAAGTTCATACACACTCTCAAAGAAAGAGATTTCGATATTCGAATAGGATTTTCATTTTGGTTCCAAAGTGAGAGAAAAGTGGATATCGCATTTACCTACAGGATTTTATGGACAGACGATGCAACTTTCACGTCGAACGTAACAGTTAGTTCCCAAAATTGTCGCTGTCCAACAATAATCCAAATTTTGTAATAGAATGCCATGACCAATTTCATTCAAAACAAATGTGTGGTGTGGGTTATTACATAACCGAATAATTGGCCCAATTTTTTAAAAGAAAATTTGAGTACAGACATGTACAGAAATTTCATTATGAATCAGTTGTCTGAAATTTTGGATAATCTGCGTCTAAATGTTAGACTTTATTTGTGAAATCAGCACCGATCTACCGAACGGTAGAAGTGAAACAACAGTGTCTCAGTCAGATGTTTAGGGGCATAGTGATACGACGAAATTGGGAAGATTATTGGCCATCAGGATCACCGGACTTATCTCCGAAAGACTTTTTTCTATAAGACTATCTGAAACAAAAAGTGTATAAGCACAGACCATTGACAAAGAACATTTATATAGAGAATACCATTCGGGAGTGTTCTGTTATCATCAATCCCCTATTTATTAAAAATGTCACAAAGTCTGTGAATGAAAGGACTATAATTTGTATAGAAGGACGGCATATTGAGTGATGAATTCGGGTTCTTTATTAGAGATGAAAATTATAATGTTTTGTTGTGAATTTGGTTATTAGTGTAATAAGTTGGATTTATTATATTTTTCGTTGAATTTTAGATAGCAAAACACACGTTTTTTCGTATGAAAAGGGAACCTTATCATCTTTCAGAAATAACCTTAAGGCCAACAGAACCAAGCCATTTAAAGGAAAAGTCGTTAAAATTAACTGCTTGATACTAAGAAATTCGGTATTTTGTAACATTCAACCCCATAATTCATTTCATTATCTTTCGTTAAGGGTCGAAAAGATGTCATCCAGTCTGTATACTCCATTTAGAATAAAAGTCAGAAAACACTCAAACGTATAATAAATATCGCAATTTATCTTATGAGCTCAAAATTTAACAACATGATAAAATGAAGCCACCCAAGTGGCTAATCTACATATGTTTCATTCGAGACAGCAAAGAAAATATCAAAAATGACCCTTGCAGTGACATCTATATCTCAGTAGTAGACTCACGACATTAGAAATGTCGGGAACTAGACGTGAATTCTTGCGGACTTATTCGCCGGACCATGAGGTGGCAAAAAGAGTACCAGTCTTAGAAAACAATTTCAAGCTTTCTGATGGGTTAGAATTTTCTGAGATAACATTACTTACATCCCCTAACATAGTAAAGGTGATGAGGTTTTTTGAAAAGATTGAGTCAGTCGTGCGCGGACCCCAGGGGCTCTTGCCCGGGGCAGTTCGCCCCTTTGGGGAGGTTGCTGGAAAAGCTATTGAAGGGACCGAGGTACTAGGGATTTTAAGATACTGGGTCGCGAGGGGATTTCAGTAGGCGATGAATATTCGCGGTTTATTTGACTAGCTGACTTGAGGTAAAATGTCAGGAGCGTACGAAGGCAGAAATAGGCCGGATGAATTTCCTCCAGAGTTTTGGGAAATACTCGAATAGAGTGAAATACGGTTTCGAGAAGTGATCTCGATATTTGGGAGTTATTCGCGTTTCATTTGGCTAGCTGACTTGAGGTAAAAAGTCAGGAGCGTACGAACTCAGAAGTAGGTCGGTTGCACTTCCTACGAAATTCTGAGTGACTTCTGGAGGTACTGAAATACGAGGTAGTTCAGGTCACCGTTTTGCGAGGTGTTTTGGAATTGATAAATAATCGAGGTTTAGTTGATTTGAGATTTAAGTCAGTGGTGCGCGGAGATTTGGTGAATCCAGTTGAATTTCCTACGGTAGCTGGAAATTCTAGAGGAAATTTTGAGTGAATTGAAATATTGAGATATTTCAAGTCACTGTTTAGAGAAGTGACACTAATTGGGTTTTGGTAGTATTCGCGGGTTTATTCAATGTAGTGATTTAGAGATTTTTTCGAGTTCCTGATAAGAGTTTTTGGGGAAACAGTGGCTTTTGTTGGAGTTTTCAGGGGAGTCCGTCTACGATAATTTTGGTGAGCGTATTTTAAACAATTCTGATATATAGTGTAGATGTTATTGCATGCATGCGTATGTGGATTCAAACTTTTTCTGATCTGGTGGCAGCAACTCTCACGCTACCAAACTAAATTAAGAAAATAAATACCTTTGGCTGAACGATCCCATATACAGGGGGGGGTGAATTTTTCTGGTTCGAGTAAACTGAGATGATTATTATATATTCATTAGTAGTACTTATATAGGGATCGCCAATTCAGACCCGACGGTCATTTATTACATTAGTTATTTTGGTTCAATGTTATTTACACATCTAATGGTGCAATGATAACTACATCTAACAGTTTACATCCAACAGTCACAGTGTTGGGTGTAAACTGCATCAAAATATTTCGAACTCATCTGCAGCTAACGTGATATAAAGCTGCTAAAAAATACGAGTGTAATAAGAATTAGTTTATTCGATAACGTCCATACATTGAAATTCCGAATTAGTTTAACAATGAAATGAAAAAAACTACCTAGATGAACTTTACAACAAAAACACAGACGAATTTCTGTAGGTGAATTTATTTCTTTTTTTGTAACAGGCCAATGCGGGTATTTTCTGGGCAAGATATGACATTGAAGTCTTGTATTCATCAAAATTATGGAATTTGAAACATGTTTCTTTCGAATCGATCGATACAGCGAAAGATTCGAAAATTCAAAAAAATTGGAAAACAGTCAAAGTGACAGTAGAGAGTCCAAATTTCAAGCAAAGGTATTAAATTGTTAACTGAACAACTTTTTTTGGTATTTTTCGAAAGTTCCAAAAAATACTGATTTTTTGAGGATTTTCGAATAGAAAGTCAAATTTGAGAGGTTTAGAGTAGCACATGACAAAAGGAACGAGGCTCTTTTTTAATGCAAGAATATTTGATATTTGGTTTTTTAATAAATCTTTGATTGCGTTAAGAAAAGTTCAATGACTACATATCAAAAAAATAAACTGATAAAATCTTCTGATAATCTGACTATTGTTGGAAATGAGTATTAGCACATTTTTTTGGTTATTGGCATCAAGAAAATGTGCTACAGATAAGAACACAACAATTCACTTGAAATAAACTGATAAAATCTTCTAATATAATCTGACTATTGTTGGAAATAAGTATTAGCACATTTTTTTGGTTATTGACATCAAGAAAATGTACTACAAATAAGAACACAACAATTCACTTGAAATATTTATTTAATTGTTCATTGAGCCCTGGATGAAAATAATTTGTATCTGCTACAAATACACCTCTTGATTACATTTGAAAATATGGATAAAATATTACATTTTCATATATAATAAATAGACCTAGTTGTTGCAAACCTTGTATGAGGCATAAGATTGCATACAGAAAATAACGTGGTAAAGGGTATAACTATTTTGCAGGTCTGCAGGTCAGCAAATTGTTCTCAGTAGACATTGTTCTCGTAATCTTGTAGGAGCAGGACACAAAATTCTTGCAGGTCGGGTCTGCCAGACATGAATTACGATCAGGCTAATCATTTTCGACTGGGAGACCCGACCTGCAAGAATTTCCGCCTCCCTGCAAAATGTATTTCCAATTTTTTAAGAATTGTGAAACTTTTGGGTGAGGGTTGAAAAATGTTTCTGTGGAAAATGATTATACAAATTTCTTCATCTGATTTTACGAAGCAAAGTTCATTATTTTTGAAATTAACATTTATCATTGTTATGAATTAGTTCATTTGAAATAATTTAATTTCAACCCAGTAAACCACGCGCTTTATTATAAAGCCATACATAAATAAAAATCTAATAGGTGGTAGAAAAACTGGCCCCATTTCCATAATCATTGATAATAAATCAGATTTCCAGTTGGAACTATTTTAACAGAATACATTTTCACCTGAAATGATTTATTTTATAAATACACTAGTTGTTGCCCGCGGCTTCACCCGCGTAGAATTTGGTAGTTGTAGTACTAATTAGTACTACGTTGCTGTATCGCTGCTGTTCCAATGTTTTGACAGAATCAGAATCAACTAACTTAGGCGTGCGCAGCGTTATAGACAGTTATTTCAAAAAATTGTTCTACAGCGGCATCTAGTGGCGAGTTACAGAAAAATTGATAGCCTAAAAACCTTCTCTATGAAGAATTACTCATACATGTCAAGTTTCATCACGATCGGTTGAGCGATGTAGAAGTTTATCACTTACCAAGCAACCAACAAACATCCATTTTTATATATTAGACTAGTACTATGTTGCTGTTTCACTGCTCTTCCAATGTTTTGACAGAATCAGAATCAACGAACTTAGGCGTACGCAGCGTTATAGAACAGTACTTTCCAAAAAGTGTTCTACAGCGCCATCTAGTGGCGAGTTACAGAAAAATTGATAGCCTAAAAACCTTCTCTATGAAAAATTACTTATACATGTCAAGTTTCATCACGATCGGTCGAGCGATGTAGAAGTTTATCACTTACCAACCAACCAACAAACATCCATTTTTATATATTAGATAATATACCTCCGGTTATCAACTGAATCGACCGTCACTGTTTTATGGTCCAACTTACTTCAATTGTAAACAAATTCTCCATAACCTCTCATTACCCGCCACCTCCTCGACATTAAGTTGTATCTACAGAAAAGGATAGTCGGATACTCGCTTCAAAATACATGTATTGTATTGGTATAGGCATGGCAACTCTATGTATTGTTACTCTGAGGTATGACCATATGACCATCGAATAAGAAAGTACTAAAAAAGTTAATCCGTGAATAATTGATTTATTCGGTATATAACTATTATTTTCCTATATACGTTACAGTTTTTCATCAATTTCGAATGTCAAGTTGACAATAATAAGCATCAAGTGACAAGAGGTGGACACCAAAGACAAAGTGACAATTGACATAAAAATGTCAGAGTAATCAATTTTGTTTTGTAAAAATGACCATGTGAGAATGATTGTATGGCTAATAAATTGATTTGATGAACAACATGATGGAAAAATACTGAATCGATGTTATTGTTGGATATCTCAAACAGTGAACTCTTTATTTATCGAGATATTTAAATTTGAAAATATGTATGATAGAACTGGCCGATACTTGATGGAAATCCAGTATAACGTATTCAAAAAACACTTCAATGTGATATTTTCACTAGAAAGTTTACAAAACCGCGACACGTGTTTCGCTATACGATAGCATATTCGGACGTCACAAGTACTGTGATACACTCAATTATTACGTTTCATTTCAGGTCACAGTAATTTGGATTATTTGGAATTTTGGACTAGTTGGAAAAAACCCTCATAGATGTCAGCAATTCAAAAGTTTGAATCGTTACCGACAGCTACGTCCTGCATCGCTAACAATTTAGTTCATTATTTGTAGATGTCAGCAGCAGTAATAGTGACGTTTTATTATTGATTGAAATTTCTATAGTCGGCGAACGCCATTTTGACTTATTCTAAGGAAGATTCTATAGTGGCAAAAATTTGAGATATCTTTGTCCATCCGTTCCTGTTCCAGTTTGATAAAGTTAATTTCTTGTTAATCATTGTTAACCCATTTGGACGGACCAAGGTTAGCTATTATTTTCCTGAGTATAGTGACGGATTTTTATCTATAATTCAATGTTTTCATTTTGATAGCCAAAGAGTGAAGAAAATTGTGAACCGTTATGTGCCTCAGTTTATTGAAATGTTATCTACAATGTCTAGTGGTGATTTCCTGTGAAATGTTTGTGCTAATGGTTTAAAAATCTACGCAATATGATGCATATTTTCGGTAGCATTGGGTTGGGCTACGATATTAAAGCGTTTGTATTGCTTACGTAGTTTATGAATTTACAGTTGCCACTAAATGCTTTTTATTCAACATTACCGCTGGTCGTTTCTGTCCATTACCTTTCATATCTCCATTGCCAGGTCAACAAGATGTTTTGTGTTTTAAAGCTAACTATCCTTTATTGTGATTTGAATAATAAACATATTTCTTAACAATGGAATAGAACTCCAATATCTGGACAGAGTTTTTGCCTGTAGTGTCATTGCAGTAAGATTTTTTTGAAATAACAGTTCATTCTCTACATTTTGTAGCTTCAAATTATTAATGTCATTTGCAGAAATAACTAAAATGAAATTATAAGGGCAAACTCGAAGTTTACATTGACTCCTCCAACAAGTTCTTTAAAGTATTTTACAGTATCTATATCATTGAAACAAAAAAAAATAGTTTCAATGAATAACTATTGTAGAAGTTTAACTAACCTTACCACAAGAGAACTTGAATCAAGGGACGTATTAGTATCTTCAATAAGTTACATATTTCACCACAAATTTTATTATCATTGTATGTGAATTGAAAATATATGCCAGTAATATATAAAAAAAATTGGATCTAGACTGTCTATTGCTGTCATTGGTGTGTTTTGAACTGCTTATAGTTGAATCGATAACAAACGCTTTGTCAAAGTAGATAAGTTAACCCTTTTTTGAAATAACAGTTCATTCTCTACATTTTGTAGCTTCAAATTATTAATGTTATCTGCAGAAATAACTAAAATGAAATTATAATTTTATAATTAATGACTGTAAAGTACTCAATAAAAAACTTTTGGGGATCAGATGAGATTTACAAAAACACATGAACTACAAAGCATCATTTCATTGTTTGGCATTAGAAAGAGTTCCGAATGAATTTTTGTGAAAATTTCATATTTTATAATCTACAATGTGATGAAAGGTTACAAAACTACTTTACTTCATTTAGACCTGTTGATTTTGTTTCATTTATTTCTGCAGATTATTGAAGTTTAAAAATTCTGGAAACAGACTTTTCTTCTAAGAATAGGCATAGATTACTGAATAAATAGTCAAGATGTGAATTATTCACATTCAAAATCATGTTTACTTGAACATTTCAATGTACCAACAAACATTTTCAAATAAATTACAAATAATATTACATTATTATTACATATTACAAATTATATTACAAATAATTCCTAACATTGAAAGAAATATTGAATAGGCATAATGTGAACATTCTCTCAACATTGTGGGCAGGTAACTGTAATTGTTTTTCATACAGATCATACAAAAGTCACTTGAAATCTTTTTTAGTGCACTCGTCCAATCACACCTGTTGGGGGAATCACTAACAGTTATTTGAAGAAACCTAAAAATTATTGACATCTCCAGCAGATCCTTTTTGAGAACTATTAACATTTTTAACCTATGTAAATTAGTCTTCCAAGGTGTAATTTTTACACATCATAAAGTGAAACACACCCTTATACAAATAACTGAGATATGAGGAAATATGAAAAAATGAGTGAAATATCAGTACACAAAACAATAGCACAAAGATGTTTTACTTATCCAAGCCAGATATTGTTGAACAGACATTCATGAAGGTATAAGACTAATCAGAGAAACTTTTCAGAAAAAAGTCAAGAATGACTTCATAGGGTTCCCAGCATGAAAATTCATTAATTATTAGGCAGAAAAAATGCATGATACTTGTGAGAACAACTGATGTGAATTGTAATGATTTAATCTATGATATGATAGGGAATATAACAAGATCCCGGTCCTTATTTTGCTAGTTCAATCATGATTAACCCACTGCATTTTTTCTAATTTATGTATACCATAAGTATATACATATTTTTATTCATTTGTTTACATCTATACACATAATGGCACATACATTTCTACACATGAACTGGGATTCGAGTCATTCTTCACTTGCCTTTGTCTACTGATTGTTGTAATGTTTTGGGTGATTTTTTTTTGTAAATAAATAATATTTATAGAGTACTGTTCACTTAAATATTATTTTGTTAGGTAAATAGTCAACTGGAAAATTTGATTATGCCATATAAAACAGTTTTGACAGTTTACAAAAACCAGGACATGTATTTCACTCACACACTGCATTCGAGTTGACCCCCAATTGAGCAGGCAGTGTTTCTTTTGTCATTAACATAGTATTCTATGAACCTTATGGCCTTACCCTTACCCTTAAATAAGGTTCTTCAGAGGCAACCTGCAAATGATGTTAAAAGCCATGTTGGCCTATCCAAAGGGTATTTGAGAGCATTATAATAAGGTTCGAATAAGAAGCACTGCCCTCTAGATCTGTGTCAACTCAAATGCAGCTACAATAGTTTCTTCAAGAGAATTATTACTCTACATTCCAGAAGAAGCTATTGAATAGTGAAACACATGTCACTGTCAAGTTAAAAATCTCACAATTGAGTGTTATTCAAATACAAAATATATTTTGTCTTGGGTGCTTACTCATTGTAATGGGTGACTTTTTGTTCTAGAAATAGGGTTCGTTCACTGGGTCTTGTAGATCTAAATGGTTGCGTGCAGACAGCATGTCTACTTTGCCAGGGCAGGCCTCCAAGGGGGAGAAAACAAAATCGAAGTACCAGTCATTGGATATAAATAACTTGTATAGAGTAAGCAGGGTAAGTTACTGTACCTACTTGACTTATAATTATTATCTTAAATACCATATCTCCTTATCACATCTCTTCTTCATCAACAAATCCATCAACAAATCATAATATTAATATTTATTTACTGATTTTGAGTTACTTAAACTTTTTGTTCATCTGTTGCTACTAAAAGAAATACTGTTGTTCGAAGGTTCTATACTAGGATAAAGTTTAAATCTCCAAAGTTATTTCAAACAACAGTTTTCACTAAGGTATGTATATAATTATATATTGACATAATGAGTTTTATGTGGTGCAGTTTAAGTACTTATAAGGAGGTATTTTGGAGAAAGTAATATAAATTGAATTCACAGCAAATGCAATATTGGTCTTGGATTCATCCAGGTGATACATTTTTGATATTCATACATATAAGAACTATTCAATTTTTATTATAAGTTTAAGTTAACATATCTTCAGTAGATTTAAATTTCCTCAGAACTCTATTAGAAATAAAATATGCAAACTAGGTCACACAAACTGAGTTAAAAAAAAAATCTGCTTCTCCGTTAACCAGCTGTCGCACCCCTACGAACGACAACCCTCAGAAGTCAAAACTTCGGCTAGTTGAGGATTAACGAGGTATTACCTTTTAACTTGTGATATTCCTAACCCGGGTTGGACGATAATACTTCAAGTGGTTTTCCAGAATTTGAAGTATATAGGGTCCAGAATTGAAAGTAAATAGTTGTAGACAATAAAAATATTATCCTATTAGCATGACTTTTTTTGTGACGAACGGTCAAAATTTTATTGATATTTTGGTAATAAAATGCTTAAATGATGAAAGTCATAAGGCAGAACAACATATAGAATGAGCTTCAAGTAAGAAATTTTCAGATGAAGAGTCCTCATGAGAAGACTCTTCTGTAGGATATAGAGAAAAGTCAAATATCAGATATAGACAAACAAGGGTCCAATGATTGTCTGTTGCGAAGCCAAGCTTCTAGAGAAACCACTGAAAGAAAAATAGTTTTCTAATGAAGAAAAGAGAATTGGAACTTACTGTTTTTTACCACTTTTATTTGTAACTAACGTTACTGCAGTTTCGTCCTATAAGGACATTTTCAAACTTATACATTACAGTTTAATGTATTTTATTTGTAACTAACGTTACTGCAGTTTCGTCCTATAAGGACATTTTCAAACTTACACATTAAACTGTAATGTATAAGTTTCAAAATGTTCTTATAGGACTAAACTGCAGTAATGTTAGCTACAAATAAAAGTGGTAAAAAACATAGAAAGTTCAAATTTTCTTTTCTTCATTATGATTCCATACCACATAGTAACGGCTACATCCATCAATTTATTGAATAGTTTTCTGACTGTTGCTGCTGCTTTCAATGCAAACAGCTAAATGATACCACAGCTTTGAGTATTGCATTCGTGATCTAATTGTCTTGAGAAAATATATTATCAATACTAGTAATCACTGTTTCAATCTGCCTTGAATTTCATCACTATTGGGCTCTAGATTTTGAGTTGTGGTATCATATAGCTACTTACTTGCAATAGAAGCTGAGAAACTTTTGGCTGTGGATGTTGAAGTTTGAAAGGTACCACTGTTGGACCTCGGGACATCGCTTTCGATCGAAGGAAGCCAATTTCAGTGATCTTCACCAATTTGTGTGAAGTGTAGCTTGAGTGAAAATGTCAGACCTATGACTGTTCTCTGCCTCAGAAAGTATCTAATCTATAAACAGAACCGTAAACTATCTTATCGGCCTTTTTTTGGGCATTTTCTCCTTCCATAATTTGTAAAATATAAAAATTGTAATGAAGAACTTTATGCAGGTGTAGAAAGGGCAAACGTTTTGGTTCACTCCAATAAGTTACTGCATAAATTCAAAGTAATTTTCATAAAGACAAATGTTCTATTTATCAGTAACTTATTGTATTTAATAATTTCGCGTATTAAACAAAAGTTTTGACAGATACTTATCTCAACGTTTCAGAGGCTAAAATCTGTCTCCTTTCTTCAGAATAAAAAAAATCTCATGATACTTGATGAAAAAACGTTGATTTCCTCTAGAAAAAGTACTTTTGTTAAATAGTAAATTATCCTTTTTCTGTGGTCAGTATTTCCAAAACGGATTGTTCTGTCAATTGTCTGCTGAGACAGTGAAAAGAAAATACTTTCAAACTTGCAGTCTAAACTTTTTTTATATGAATTGTATCCTTTTATATTATCTTTGTTTCAGGGTGAAAATTTGGAAAAACAACAACAAAAGAGTGCAAATGTATATGTTAGACATGGAATGCAATCATTGGGAAAAGTCCCTAGCGCACGGCGAGCTCCAGTTAATTTACCCTCTTTGAAAGCAGAACATAGTGGATCAGACGCAGCAGTACCCTTAGTACCACCAGGAGCGCAAGGATGGGGCAAACAAGATTCGAATACCACCCAACAACCCAATACTCCCACCTCCCATTCACCACCTCAAAATTCAACAGCCCCTTCGTCGAATGCCAATCAACAAAATACCCAACAGATCAGCCCCCATCAAGCTGCCATTGCCCTTCCAGTAACAACAACAATTCCACCACATCCACACAAACAGGTAATTTATTTTTTGTTTTCTAAGTAATGTAGCTAAAGACTTTCCAAGTTCTTATTTCAACCCTTTCTGTCAAGAGGCATACATTCAGTTGAATCAATAGAAATTGTCTTTTGGTTTTTGACAAAATATTTGTAAAATCTAATATACATAAGAACTTTTTATTTCAAAGATAAATGAATGAGAGATTTGAAAATAATTTATCCTTGTAGAATATTCACACAAATCTTAGTTAAAAAAGTATGTATCATATTAAAGGTAAAAATATATCGGACATATTCATATAAAACTTTTATTCTTTTTAGTAGCTGATAAATGAAATACTAAAATATATTTTATAACTTTTGAATGATGTATTTGTGTAATACACGTGTGGTATGCCTCTTTATAAAAAAAGGTTTTAATCATTTCAAAAATATATTTGATTTATCAGAACTGTCCTACTGCACTTAATTAACAAGGACTGATTGATTACTGTTTTTGAATCATCACTAACTTAACAAATGGGCCAAATTCAAATATTGTACAAATTTAATTGAAAAATGTGAGAAATAGGTGCATTAAAAAGTATTGATCTCAAAATTGTCAATGTCTATGGTAGTTCGAGATTCATATAAAAAAAAAAGTTGAGTATTTGTTTCGAAAGAATTTTTCTTGTGTAATTTAATGTTTATATGTATATGAAAGTAGCTGTTTCAGGAGGGCTTTTTTTCCAGTTTGTGCCTGAAAGTTACTTCTTTGCATGATCTACACATCTATGTATAGAGTTACTTCTTTTAAAATTGATTGCTTCCTTCCTTTCTTTAGAAGATTCCCACATTTTTTGTATCAAGATGGAGTAGTAGAAAGTTATAGTCCCTAATTATAGGCATTCATTGTTTCTTGGGACAATAAACCCAATTGAATTTAAAAAAAATCAAAATTATCTGACCTTCAACCTTCCGGGACCGGCGCGGGGATTCTCATTCCGCAGCCCCTCCCATTTGCCGTTTATGAGATGAGTTCATATGAGCGCGAGTAGGATAGACTAAATAAACTAATGTTAGAATGATTTGTCAATGACGAGCAAGAGGAAGATTTAGATGATGAGGATGATGAAGAAGACGTATTGGAAACTCAAGAATCAAATTCAGAATCAATATTGAAATTGAGAAAGAAGTTTCAGTAGGGCCAGTTTTTATTGGAAAAGATCGAACAAGTAAATGGTCAAAACATGTTCCCCATTCGAGCAGAACTCGGGCAAAAAAATTTGATAACACAGCTTCCAGGACCAAAAGCAGGTGTGAAACATTTGAAGAGTGCATCTCATTTGGAAACACTTATTTGATTTGCAAATGCTAGGGACGATTGTCAAGTATACGAATCAACACATTCAGAAGCGTTCCGTAAATTATTCCAGCGAGAGAAATACAAAAGAGACAGACCTTGTTGAAGTTCAGGTACTTATTAGTTTACTATATTTGGCAAGGGTGCTGAAGACAGGCCGCCTCAATGTAAATGAATTATGGAACAATGATGGAACCGGTGTAGAACTATTCCGACTAACCATGTCCAAATTTCGATTTATGATCATGCTTCAGCATTTGCGATTTGATGACATAGATACTCGTACGGATATAAATCAAATAGATAAACTGGCACCAATAAGAAATATTTTTTATTCTTTTGTCGAAAAATGTAAAACTGCATACACGCCATTGCAGAATGTGACAATTGATGATAAATTGGAAGCATTCCGTGGAAGATGTTGTTTCTGGCAATACATTCCGAGTAAGCAAAATCGATACGGTCTCAAAGTATTTGCTCTCGTTGATTGTAGAACCTATTATTCTGTCAAATTGGAAGTATATGTTGGAACACAACCAGACGGTCCCTATACTTGTGAAAATTCTGCATCTGCTTTGGTACAAAGACTAGTAGAGCCAATTAGAGATTCAAAACGGAATGTAACTTGTGATAACTGGTTCACAACTATCCCACTAATATCTAAATTACTAAATGATTACAAACTGACATACTTGGGCACCATACGGAAAAATAGGCGGGAGTTACCTCTAGAATTTTCGAATCCAACGACAAGGCCATTAGGATCAAGTATGTTTGCTTATAATAGTTGCATAACATTGGCATCGTATATCCCTAAAAAGAAAAAAAATGTGCTACTAGTATCCAGTCTCCATCACGACGATAAAATTGACCAAGAAACAGGCAAGCCGGAAATGATAATAGATTATAACGATACTAAAGGAGGGGTGGACACGTTAGACAAGATGTGCGCGGCGTATGATTGCAGTAGAAACACACAAAGATGGCCAATGGTTATTTTTTATTCCATGCTGAATATAGCTGGAGTCAATTCCATGGTGTTGTTCAATCTACAAAATGTGGATAATAATATGACACGCCGACAGTTTTTGCACTTGCTGTCTTCCGAGTTGGCCGACAATCATCTTCGATTTCGCGCAACTTTGACTTGTCTACCGCGAACTATAAAGTCCAGAATTAACGAGAGATCGCTGCTGTCTCTGCGACAGGAAAAAAAATCGACCTACACGTTTTACGTACATAAAATGCGGGAAGTTTTTCTGCCTTGAACATTTGAATTCTATATGTTTGGAATGTCACACAGGATAATTTTATCTAATTTTATGTTTGAGGAAGTTTATAATCTGTTATAGTAGATTTCATTTCTTTTAAGTTGCTAGTTTTGGATATTGACGTTTTTGACTCTCTTTTCGTTAATGATGCCAAAAAATGTTTCTGTTTTATTTCTCTGGTGCAAAATAAATGTATGATTATTTTTTTGTTGTTTTGATATAAATCAGCAAGAATATTTTCGATGTTTCTTACAATTACACTGAATTCAGAATGGCGGGCTCACAGTCCCACGCCAGTCCCCGATTACCAAAAGTTCTCGCGGGTCTCGGAAGGTTAAAGTGAAAAATTAGTATATCAGTAAATTTTTTCCAACTCCTTTCAGGGACTAGCTTTGGTCTGTCGGTATTGTATTATCAGTAGAAATGTAGATGACAACATAATTTTCAAATCGAAATTATTAGTGTATGTATTTTCAGTTGACTCCTACTGCCCAGCCTGTTCCCGCAGACAAGCTATGGAGTTCGGTGATGACCGGCCAAGAGGTACCACAACCTCCTCTCTACCAGAGCCCACAATTTCAACACGAGTTCCCCAGCTTGTCCGCTGGCGATGGCGTCCCCACACGCACTGGTTCAGATGCTCCTCAGTACCCTTCAGGGCTAAGTCTCAGGCCACAGACAGAAGGTTTGGATTTACTATTGATAATCATAATAAGCTAATCACCAAAAAATATATAAATTTTTCCTTTGAGGCCCAGAGTTGTTTTCTGTTGGAAAAAGTTTTGTATTTGAAAATGAATTTGAAATATGATCGGTGGTATGTAAACAAGTAAATTATCAAATTATCTAAAAGAATAATTCGTTCAGGCCAGTCTCAACTCGCTTACACTGAAGGTTAATGAAATGACACCTGTCGGATATAATCCGATGGCCTTCGTGGTATTAGCCAGAGGAGTAGTTGTTTTCTGATGGGTATCAGTGTAGGTGAGTTGAGACTGGGCTGAACTAATTGTTCTTTTAGATAATTTTATTTACAACCAGTCCAAGTATGTTCTCTTATTATATGTGAAGTGAATTATCACCCAGTTTACTTGATCAAAAAATTAAATAGCATTTGTTATAAATCCCATCAAAATTATAATACATTGTAGTGATTGTTGATTACGTGAAGACATTTGTTCTTGGTAGGTAATTATAGAATATTGAATTTTTCCTATTAGCGAATTGTGGTATCTTGAAATTTATCAGGCTTCGGACATCAGCACGGAAGGTTTGGATTTATTATTGATAATCATCTTGGGCAGAAGTAGAAGTACCCTGATTCAAAATAGTTTGACCTTATGAATTATCTAACTCATACGTAAAGGTTCCCCAAAACAGGACAAATTGGTCAGGAAAAACCTGGAAGACTTCGGGAATTTCATTCAGTGAAAGTGCTATGTCTTATATAAGGAAATTCAATAAATGTTTTTCCTTCTATATGTTATAAAGGGTTTTTCAATTGGCGCGGGTAGATTTTGGCGCCCCGTGGCGGCCATTTTGTTTTGGTGACATCTGTCAAATCTTTTGTTAATTATTCAGTTGTTTATGCTAAATCATCATGGCAAGTTACACGATTGAACAGCACGTTCAAATGATGAAACTTTAATATCAAAATGAGTGTTTGTTAACGCAAACGTTGCGCGCATTGCGCCCATTTTACGGTAGACGTGGTGGCCCTTCACAGTCGACTCTTCAACGTTTGGTGGCCAAATTTGAGACGACTGGTTCAGTAAACAATCAGCCAACACCCGTACGTTTAAGGAAAGCAAGATCGGCCGAGAACATCGCCGCGGTTCGTGAAAGTGTACAGCAGAACTCGAGGCAGTCTAGTACTCGCTGTGCACAAGAACTCGGCCTTTCGCAGACTTCAACTTGGCGAATTTTGCGTCGGGACTTGGGCCTACACCCGTACAAGCTCCAACTGACCCAGGAGCTCAAAGTTCGTGACCATAGACAACGCCGTTTGTTCGCGCTGACTGGGATTCGAATCGTTTGGAAGAGGACTCCAATTTTGGCCGAAAAATCATCTTTAGTGACGAGGCGCATTTTTTGATGAATGGCTGAGTTAACAAGCAAAATTGCCGTATATGGGCCGACACCAACCCACGCGAGGTAAACTAGGTGATAATGCATCCTCAAAAAGTTACCTTTTGGTGTGGATTTTGGGCCGGCGGCGTAATTGGTCCGTACTTTTTTGAAAACGACGTTAGTGAGGCGCTCACCATCAACAGCGAGCACTACAGAACGATGATAACTAATTTCTTATGGCCCAAATTGAACCATATGGACCTAGACGACATGTGGTTCCAGCAGGACAGCGCCACGTGCCACACAGCAAACGCCACGATTGACATTTTGCATGAATGATTTGAGGGTGAGGTTATCTCTCGCAGGGGTGATGTGAATTGCCCACCAAGGTCATGCGATTTGACCCCGCTAGACTTTTTCCTTGAAGTCGCAGGTCTATGCAAATATACCACAATCGACCGATGCCCTAAAGGTGAACATAACAGAGGCCATCGCTTAAATTCAGCCGGATCTATGCGGAAGAGTCATCGAAAATTGGACCACTCGTTTTTTTTATATTCAGATACATTAGGTGATAAATGTTAACCATGCACTTCGTTCAGGTCATTCTGAAGTTGTTTACGGTTACGGTCAGATATTGGTAGATACATTTTTGGATCATCTGCATATAGCATTGAGACATGAATTGGAAAAGTGTCCATTGTAAAAGACGAATTTTTTATTGACCTATCACATCCTTCTGATCATATGAATTAAGAGTATTTGAAAGTTTTAAGGTGATTACAAGACCAGACAGCCCTGTTTCAACCCGCCATAAGTCTCGTCAGTGGTGCTAGGCTGAACCACGAATGCTGAACTCCACTGTCCTTGAATAACAAGCCTGAGTTGATAAGGGCGATGACATTTCACGTTGCGAAAACGCCATTTATGGAAACGACAGAAAACTCAATACTTGAATATCAAAGATATAACATGGCTCTCCAATACGTGAAACCATGTTGATATGGAGTTGTGGCCTCTTCAACTACAGGTTACATGAAATTACATATGGCCACTTTAAAAACCTTAAAACAATTTGACAAAACAGATGAGACAGGACAATAATTATTTATGTGAGATCATCTATCACCAGATTTGAAGACTGACAATTTTAATTCGTCTTCACATATCTGGAAATGTCTTCAATTCTAGCGCCTAGTTGAATAAAATCTTTAATGGTGTCTTACTGAGAAAAATGGAATTTCATTTTCAACTATAGTCTGGTTTCAATAATTTCCTCTTCAGTTATAACTATATCCTTTTGTCTGGAAAATGTTACATTATTGTGGAAAATTCTGGCCTAGAATATGAGAGGATTTATATTTCAAATTGGTGAATTTCACAAGTATATTCCTGTAGTACTTGTGTTTTGTCAAAAAAAAAAATAACTTCTAAAGTTAATTGATTTATTGCTAATTGAGACCTCAAAGTTTTCGGTATTCCACAATTGGATATTTATGCTTCACTTGAGGGAAGAAGAAAAGACTAAACAACAAACACAATTGTTGGAAAAATTTTATCTCTGAAGCATGTTTTCCTGTTTCATAGTATTTTTTATTGGTGTTTGAATATTTTGAATGAATTTACAATTCAGGCCTCAACAAAGGAAAAAAAATGTAAGAAATAAACTTGAAACTGGTCATAACAAATAAAAAACTCATTATTTATTTTCTTTATCCTATATGTTATTATATTAACTTTTTATAATAACTATATACCATTTTATATTTACCAATCAATTAGTACTTTGTACTTATGCTTACATTATGTATTATATTTTTAATGAAGGTTTGTGCATAAGGGTAACCTAAATCAAACAGAATACTACTACTACTTTTAAACTTGAATACTTTTCAACCCTTCATGAGAAATATCAGATAATTTACATTAACAATTTGAAATTTTCAGTGGGACTGGAAAATCCTGGAAGGTTGGAGAGTTCATATAATTATTTTTAGTGACCACCCTGTATGCACTCATATATATTTATAGTTATAAAATTTTGTTTGGTAATTTTCAATCTTTGATCTCATTATTATTTGCAGGTTCTTGGACCCAAGGTGGGCAAAAGTCTGTTGGAGCTCAAGGAGCAGAGAATTCTGGATCAGGAAGACCGGGCCCGGCCCACCAGGGATCCCCACCGCAGCTTTCGGTCCAGGTGGGCCAACAGCAACAACCTTTTCCACCCCAAATACGTGGTGTGATGCCTTCTTTTGTAAGTTTCTTCAGCATCGATTATGTTGACATGCTTGAAAGATGCGTATCATCCAAACAGACAACACAAACTTTTACTAAAATGGCTGACCAAAATGGCTAAACACAATAAAAATTATAATTTTGAAAATTTATGACTCTCATGGCTAGTGATAATTGAGTTGAAGCAATTTTCCGAATTTGTGAATCATAACCTGCAAATTTTTCATAGCTGATGTTTCATCTACAACTCTAGTTGTACATGAAGAATTGTCTTTATTTTTTAAATTCACTAATAGAGGCAACCCCCGTATAACTATTTTGGGTCGATTCCATTAAATTCGTCAGAACTTTATTAATTATTCTGTACAAACGTTTTCAATTACATTTTTCAAGCCTGATATCTGGCATATTGAATATTCTGGTAAAATGCCCGTAGTTTATTAGTTGTAGAATCGTAGAAACTGTTACAATAAACAACATGTAAATGTCAAACGAGAGGAACACTTCATCGATTGGTAGGAATATCATAGAAATTACCGACTACACACTTTTACATAGCTATCTCTCTTCGATGTACTGTATTCTAGATATCATCCAAACAATAGTCCATGCTGTTTCAAAGCAAACAGTATCTGTATTCTATTTATTTTTCACTTCTAGGCGAAAAGTATGTTTTATAAAAGTATGTGTTTTATAACATATATATTCTTTCGTGTAAATTCCTTCGTTAACCCAATTGTTTATAGATTGAATCTTCAGTTGAATTCCATCTGTTGCGGGCATGGATTAAATTGTTGATTTTTTCTTTTTTTCCATTGGAATTGTCTGTGATATTGAATTTCAGTTGATTTTCTATATATTATTGGTTCTGTCAAGTACTCAAGTCTTTTCAAATGATATAACGTGAGTGCCTTCTCTGAATGTATCTTTACATAATTCCAGTGTAGACCCATTCATAGTTTCAAGGGATCTAATATTACTAAATTCTCTCTGGGATCCTTATCTGACCTTACAGTGAGAGTCTAGGGTTAGGTAGTCTGGTGTCTACTATTTCTGTCCCCTAGTTTATAAAAACGCAAGGTAACGAGGTATGGTAAGGTAAGAAAGTTGAAGTATTGAGAAAACACACTTGCATTCTAGATAAAAAGTAAGGTAAGGTAACGTCGGTAAGGCAAGGTAAAAAGTTGGCTGATTTAAACTTTCTGCGTTGCGTTCTTACCTCCGACCAATCAGAAAGCGCCATACTACGAATTTTGATGGATATTATATAAAAGAATGAAAAATGATGATCAATTTTTGTACACAAGAATGAACAGAATATGTTATGAACATTTAGTGAAATTGTTAACGCCTTCATTGTTAAAAAAAAGGTATGGATCGATATCTCTAGAAGAGAAATTGGCTATAACACTCCAGTAAAGTGAATTGTTGAATTTGAAAATATATAGAAATGGAAGTTATTTATTTCATATGAGTGATTGCTGCTGTCAAGATTTGTTTATGCATTCCTGCCAACTCAAAAATTACCAAAACCTATAATCACTATGGCAATTATTCATACTTTACTTTTTCGTTAACGTCAAAAAATGGATACTTTACCTTACCTCTCTGCATTACCTTACCTTACCTTGCATTATTATAAACTAGGGGTGTTAGTATAAGAAGTGAACATTTTGATGAATATCGATTGAGCTTGTGTAGCTAGTATACAACCTCTAACATAAATAATGCATTAATTACTGTAAAGAAGCTGGAAATCAGTTAATGCATTTCCACAGTTTTAAAGCCGAATTATTTAGATACCACTCTCACTGTATAATCCCTAGAGGTCTTGCTCTTGAGTTTCTTAAAATGTCCATTAAATCACCCAGAAACTTTGAGATCAATTTCTTTAAGAGCCATTTATGGGAAGTTTGTGAAGAAAATCACACTATTGTTTGTTTTTGAAACATTCAAGATTAATGAATTAGCCTTGGAACCATTTTTCACTTTTCTAAATATCAAGTTTACTTGAGAATGGTTTAACAAACCGAAACCGGTCTTATCAAATGATAAACATAGTAGAAATCAGACAAAAGTTATTTTCTTTATGCTATATTCAATATGAATTTCTATAAAATGGAAAGATCATCATTATCAAGCGAATCATGTGAAAGGGATAGATGTATCAATCTTGTATTGAACAACAAAAACAGACTCTGTGGCACTACAGTTTTAATCAGTATTAATCTATTGTTTGATGACTTCAATTTCATTTATTCATTGTAGATGTGCAAAGGTAGCAATTTCCAACAAGGACCGGGAACTGGTAATCAAAATCCTTCGACGTTACCGACGTCTATTAATGGGCGAGGTGGTCGACCTTTGGATAATCGCCCGCCACGATTGGCAGAAAGAGATGGCGAAGAAGTAGCCCCCAGACCAATAATAAAGGAAGAAGAGTTGAATAGAATGGATGAAATCGGTAAAGATATGGGCTGGGCCGAATCCGATGAAATAGATTACAAGTGAGTAGAAGTTGAAATCATTGAAAAAAAATGATAGAAGCCCAATTTTTACTTTTTATAGTATACAAAGTTTTGAAGATTGTAATGTTATTTTTCAGAACCTCACTGTCAATATTTCTGGTACAGTGACATCATTACAATCGGTTATTTAAGACTCTAGTCTCAATTAAAAGATTTAAATAAAATTGAAATTTGTCATTGGTTTTTGCTTTTAATTAGACGGACACTTCATAAACATTCATCGAGCCTTTTTTTCATTAGTTCGGACTTCTATTGTCTAATATGATATAAATTTATATGAAATCCCTGAAAGAATCGGTAATAAATTAAAAAGATTAGCTGAAAAATAGCAATTTTATTAAGCAAAAAGCTGAAATTACAATGAAATAATATACAAGCAACAACCAAAAAATGAAAAATAAAAAAAACTTGAACTATCAACACGAGCTGAAAATAAAAAAAATATTAACAAGACATGAAAATTATAAATTGAGAACTTCTTAACCAAGTTACTTCACAACGTTTCGATTGTTGGTATCCACAATCGTCTTCGGGTGATAACCCGATTTTTTTTTGTTGCTTGTATGTTATTTCATTGTAATTTCAGTTTATTGCTTAATAAAATTGTTATTTTTCAGCTAATCAATTTAATTTTTCACAGATTCTTTCAGGGATGTCAAATCAATTTGTATCATATTAGACAATGGAAGTCCGAACTAATGAAATGCACCACGAAACATTGTAAACCACCTTCAAACAGGCCTTTTTTGTTGAGAAATAACATTTTTTGTTTAATTTCGAATTCACTGGGAAATATTATTTCTTAAGTAATTCTATAATCATATACCAAATTTCACTAATGTCAGTATTATCATTATTCCATAACGTATTCATTAGGGACAGTTGAAATTTAATTTCATCAAAGTATTTATAATCTCTCCTACTTATACTAGTGGAAGTTGAATTAGTATGAAAGACATTACCTAAGGGTATTAAAATATTAGAATGATCTGAAACACTTTGAAGATGAGATACTTAACATTCCGGGACTGGCGCGCGGATTCTCATTCCGCAGCCCCTCCCATTTGCCGTTTACAACTCACCCCTCTACTTCTCGAATCGGAGCGACTCAGTATTTTTCAAGCATCTTACTATTAGTGTGACACTAGAGTACAGAGGTTGAATGTTTTGTCGTTCTCAAGTTGCATATGATTGCGGAGGGATAGTCCGACTCCAGTTCCCAATCCAATTGTTGACCTGACTATTGGTATTTGTGTTTTCAACATATTCGTAGGTGAGTAACTATTTTCATGTATTTTATTGCATATGTAACTGTTATTTAGTGATTTATTGAGTACATAATGTGTAATTTTCAGATGAGTTCATATGAACGCGAGCAGAATAGACTAAATAAACTAATGTTAGAATGCTTTGCCATTGACTAGCAAGAGGAAGATTTTGATGATGGAGATGATGAGGATGATCAAGAAGACATATTGGAAACTCAAGAATCAAATTCAGATACAGAGCAGGACATTTCCGATATTGAAATTGGGAAAGAAGTTTCAGTAGGGCCAGTTTTCATTGGAAAAGATCGAACAAGTAAATGGTCAAAACATGTTCCCCATTCGAGAAGGACTCGGGCGAAAAACTTGATAACACAACTTCCAGGACCAAAAGCAGCTGTAAAACATTTGAAGCGTGCATCTGACATTTGGAAACACTTCTTTGATTTGCAAATGCTAGGGACGATTGTCAAGTATACGAATCAACACATTCAGAAGTATTCCGTAAATTATTCCCGCGAGAGAAATACAAAACAGGCAGACCTTGTTGAACTTCAGGCACTTATTAGTTTACTATATTTGGCAGGGGGGCTGAAGTCAGGCCGCCTCAATGTAAATGAATTATGGAACAATGATGGAACCGGTGTAGAACTATTCCGACTAACCATGTCCAAATTTAGATTTATGTTCTTGCTTCAGCATTTGCGATTTGATGACATAGATACTCGTGCGGATAGAAATCGAATAGATAAACTGGCACCAATAAAAAGTATTTTTGATTTTTTTCTCGAAAAATATAAAACTGCATACACCCCATTTCAGAATGTGACAATTGATGAGAAATTGGAAGCATTCCGTGGAAGATGTTGTTTCCGACAATACATTCCGAGTAAGCCAAATCGATACGGTCTCAAAGTATTTGCTCTCGTTGACTGTAGAACCTATTATTCTGTGAACTTGGAAGTATAAGTTGGAACACAACCAGACGGTCCCTATGCTTGTGACAATTCTGCATCTGCTTTGGTACAAAGACTGGTAAGAGTCAATAAGAGATTCAAAACAGAATGTAACTTGTGATAACTGGTTCACTACTATCCCACTAATATCTACATTACTAAATGATTACAAACTGACATACTTGGGCACCATACGGAAAAATAGGCGGGAGTTACCTCTAGAATTTTCGAATCCAACGACAAGGCCATTAGGATCAAGTATGTTTGCTTATAATAGTTGCATAACATTGGCATCGTATATCCCTAAAAAGAAAAAAAATGTGCTACTAGTATCCAGTCTCCATCACGACGATAAAATTGACCAAGAAACAGGCAAGCCGGAAATGATAATGGATTATAACGATACTAAAGGAGGGGAGGGTACGTTAGACAAGATGTGCGCGGCGTAAGATTGCAGTAGAAACACACGAAGATAGCCAATGGTTATTTTTTATTTCATACTGAATATAGCTGGAGTCAATTCCATGGTGTTGTACAATCTACAAAATGTGGATAAAAATGTGACACGGCGACAGTTTTTGCACTTGCTGTCTTCCGAGTTGGCCGACAATCATTTTCGATTTCGTGCAACTTTGACTTGTCTACCGCGAACTATAAAGTCCAGAATTAAAGAAATTCTTGCCATATATGATGCAGTTGTGCCTACTGTAAATCTGCCAAATACAAGAGGTCGCTGCTGTCTCTGCGACAGGAAAAAAAATCGACCTACGCGTTTTACATGCATAGAATGCGGGAAGTTTTTCTGCCTTGAACATTTGAATTCTATATGTTTGGAATGTCACACAGGATAATTTTATCTAATTTTATGTTTGAGGAAGTTCATAATCTGTTATTATAGTAGATTTAATTTCTTTTAAGTTGCTAGTTTTGGATGTTGACGTTTTCGACTCTCTTTTCTATAATGATGTCAAAAAATGTTTCTGTTTTATTTCTCTGGTGCAANTTAGTTAGCTACCTAACTATATTATTGAAGGGGAACCGTTGGAAGGTAGGTTGCACTATATTATTTACTTGAACCGTACCAAATATTGTTTGCAACTGCAACAGATATTAGTGGTATGTGTGTTAACTGTGAAGACAAAAGCTATAATCTCGAAGTCTTGGCAACAAGTTGGCCTACTAGCTTAGATTACGTTCTCTTCAATTGCAACTCTGGTTCTAAAGGCCTATGTTCTTATATTGTTTATATTGAATTTTTTGTAATGATTTTGAGAAAAGTTGACTGATCCAATTAAGTTGGGATGATGAGAAGACTTCTCCTGTTCTCCTACTCATTGTTTTTTTCAAATTTTCAGTTAATATTAAAGATTTTGAGAATGAATGATTATATTTCCCCAATAGGACTAGTGTATTTTTCTCAAGAACGTTTGATTCAACCAAAAGCAACTAGAATACTTTGAGTACAAATGAATAGGCTTTTCGAATAATTCCAAATATCATAAAAAAGTGACTCTTTCATTGGAATTTCATGTTCCTGTACATCACACTGACTTCATATTGCTTAAATCTACCACTGAAAAATTATAGGGCATAACCTTCGATCAAGATCTGAAGTTTTCATTTTCATAATTTTCTAAGGTATCTACAAAAAGTTGCATTTTGCTCTGGAACCAAGGACCAAGGAACTAAGTCCTGAAATTAATAACTACTGAAGAAAAATCATTTATGTTGTTTGATTTTTAGTGACTTGATATTTCTCATCACTAAAACAACCCTTTTGTCCTCTGGATAGGCAAGATCGGTTGTGATATCAGATAATAGTCAAGAAAAATAATTGAAGAGTAAATGAGGATATTTTAACAAAGTGTGGCCAGTAGAGCCTGCATCATATAGATTTTTTTTCACAATCAACTTTATTTGAAATTTAATTTTGTCATCAATTTCTGCTGCAATTGAGATGAAAAATTTGCAAGAATTCTGAAACGGTGTTATTTTTACCAAATATTGTTTGCAACTGCAACAGATATTAGTGGTATGTGTGTTAACTGTGAAGACAAAAGCTATAATCTCGAAGTCTCAGCAACAAGTTGGCCTACTAGCTTAGATTACGTTCTCTTCAATTGCAACTCTGGTTCTAAAGGCCTATGTTCTTATATTGTTTATATTGTATTTTTTTGGAATGATTTTGAGAAAAGTTGACTGATCCAATTAAGTTGGGATGATGAGAAGACTTCTCCTGTTCTCCTACTCATTGTTTTTTTCAAATTTTCAGTGTAGGGTGACTTCAAAAAATCTGGCTTCAATTGTATCACTGGCTGCATGCAGCAGAAGTTGTGCAGTAAGTGCTTCTCGCCATAGGCGAGTGCTTGTTTCGGTTTCATTTTATGTCAGAGGTTCCAGTTCAATCTTTCATTCTTTGCATACATGATTCACATCATAAAATAATACCAAATATTTGATTCCTTAGGTGCCAGAACGTAATAAAATAGAAGGAAAAATACATCTGAAAATTTTGGTAGAAGGAATAACCTTGTCGAAGTTTTAATTTATCCTAGTCAATTTGCGGTTAACACTTCTGGGCCCACAACCTGTTAGCAGATATTACTTCTCAACTCCAAATAACTACTTTTCAGTTTCAGGTGAACTAGTAGACGAAACATTTGGTACTTCAGTTTCCATTTGACCGTGATCTACCAGCCTATTCATTTATTTATTCTGATATCACTGAAAAGCGTCCATTGTATATGAAGTGAACAGATGGATGCTTATAGGATTTGTCAACATTCTAAAACTAGTAAAAAGGGACTCACGCAAAAAGAGATATACACATACACAATGAAAAGTGAAACATATTAAAAGAAGGAATACATGTTCTGATGACATTTACCCTAGTACAGTGTATAAATAAAATAAAAAATTTCAAAATTGCAATAAAATCAAATCAAGCATTAAGAACCACAGTGAAATTCCCAATACCAATTCTTTAATGCCTTGGTGTCTTTATCGAAGCAATAGACTCCACAAAAATGATTTCTAGTTTTTTTTTGTCTGTTTTTCTGTTTGTGCGCACTAATTTCGAAAACGGTTTAACCAATTTGGGAGTGGTTTTCACAAATGTGTTGTGGTGAGCTTCACTTAATATTATTTTACTTAATATTTGTTTGATTTATTTCAGTCCGTTCATAAATAAAAGTTATGTCAATTAAGAAATCATGTCAAACATTGGTTGTAAAAATACTATGAAAATTCTCTCGAGTTGATTTGACTGAAACTTTGGTTAGCTATACTTATAGTTTTTGAAATGATAGTCTTATAAATTGAAGTTAGGCAGATAAATAAAAGCGTTTTGCTGTTAGAAAATATGGGAAAACTCATTTATGTTTTACAAAAATATATAGAACCATAACAAGGTTATAAAAAAAGGAATATTTTGTTAAAACATTCGCACCCTCTAATTCAAAACCTAAAGAAACGTACAGTACAAAATTATCATTTATAAAATTTTCAGTATTCTATTAAAACTGGATTTTTTTGTGCATTCAGCATATAAAAATACCATTCCAACTTGAACTCTATTTTTGGTTGAAATGGTTTGTAAGCTTGAAAATGAATTAGTCATTTCATTCGATGTGAATGAGAAATATTTTCAATGTAAAATGTATTCCTCAAACCCATTTTAATCAGTATTTAGAACTATCCATATTTTTCAGGTTGTATTCATTTCTGCTAGGGTTCATCCAGGCGAAACACCCTCATCTTTTGTTTTTAATGGTTTGTTGAGTTTGTTATTAACCAGAGATGATTTGGTAGCACAGAACTTACGTAAATTATATGTATTCAAAATGATTCCTTTTCTAAATCCTGATGGCGTTGCTAAAGGCCACTACAGAACCGATAGTAGAGGTGTGAATCTCAATAGAGTTTACCTGAACCCTAGCTTGACAGAGCACCCGTCAATTTATGCTGCTAGAGCTTTAATAAGGTGAGAAATCCATAACGTACTGCAAACATGTGCTATATACATATAAATCTCTTTGGTAGATTTTATCACTATGGTTTTGAAAAAGAAGACATTGTTCCCAAATGCAACAGTTGCAAAGCAGAAAGAACTAAAATGGATGGCAAGTTCACTGAAGCTGATGATGTTAGGCAGAATGAAACCATTAGTAACAAAATATCTCAAATCACGTTAGAAACAGGAGATAGCCCATCTACATCTTGGTGTACTAAATGTAAGAGTAATATCCTTAAATTGGAAGATACCATGCCGGGCATTTCTACCATCATACCAACATTCAACTTGAACTCAACTGTAGGTAGGATCTATGAAATTGAATATTTGTTGATATTTGAAACGTTGACTTTTTTCTCCAGTTGCATTTGTGAACTATTTTCACAATTTCAGAACGTTTTTTCATATCTTTCAAAATGTCATTTATAGAACTTGTTATAATTTATCGCCTTTTATACTGATTAAGAATGTGATACAAAGTCAGTAACATAATTGAATCTTGGAAATATCAACTAGTAAATACATGACAGTTTTGAAAACAATACTTTAATTTGTTGAATTACACTGTTTAAATTCGATAATTTTCTTGATGTTTCTAGATTCAAAATGAACATCTTGAATAATTCTACTGAAATATAAAAATCCATGTACTTGAGAATAATGACAATTTTGAAAGACTATAATAATACTAATAAAATTTATTAATCATCAAGAACACAAAGTTCATTGACAGATCAAAATATGAAATGAAAAATACAAAAAAATTAAGCCAACAATAACGATTAACAAATCGCGGGTCGAGAGACAGCATTTTTGTTCTGACGAGGGAAAAGTGTTTCCGATAGAAATCACCCATCTATTAACAGAAGCTTCACTGTATTGTGGAAAACTTTATCGCTATTCATCGGTTTGATTTCATTAGGTAATGGAGGGATAACAATATAAAAGTAAATACAGTGATTGAAATCTATAGAAAAAAAATCCTTAAAATCTGTTTTTTGAGACTTGGACTAAATGGACAAGTCAGACAGCTCCCAAGGTACAACAAAAAAAAACTTCAACCATTATTCAAATGTCTATCGCCTTATTAGATCACTCTGCACTGCTCTGTCAGCGAAACTTGACTATCTCGACATGCTCGTGAATAGCGTTTATAAGCGGCAAACGAACTATCCCGAAACCAGTGGAGAATTCCTCAGAAATCCATCGAAGCTGGTAGAATATTTGTCGGAATTCAATCGAACCGGTGCGAACATTCAACAACCACGAAACGTCAGCCAGGCTGGGCGCCGTCTAGGAAACGTCACAATTGTTTTATGGCTACCAGTGGCGGCCGGCGTTATTTTCTTCAGAGCGTGTTTTACAACAGTACTTTATTCAGAACGGTACGATAGCTCTACAATCTTTATTTCATTACGGATATAATTTTTCAAGAATTCATACACTGTACTTGTGTTACCATTGATCAACAAAATAAACAATTCTGAATCAATTATTTGATTGCACAACTGTAAACAATTATTTCTCTCATTAATCATAAAAGTCTGTAAAATATAAATGTACACTTATTTGAGTAATGATTCATTGTAGAATTTTCCCAATTCACAGTTTACAAAACAATAAAACGTATTTCACTGTGCTAATATAGCTTCTTCAAGAGTGTTCTATACTCGATATGTGTTGCCGTTCAACTGTTTAATGAAAATTTCACACTAAAGTGTTAGTTACAAATATTATCATGGATTTCTATCAAGGATTGGGCAATTTCATTTCATATCTTGTTATACATGAAATTAAAATGAATTCTAAAACACTCCCTTAACACATACAAACGATAATAATTATTTCATTCAATAATGATAATAATATCAGTTTATTTGTATATGATCAATACCTAAAAAAACAAGTCATAAAATATAATGGAAAAAAAGGTTGAAAAGATAAAAACTACATAATACTTACATTACCTAATGAGAGTCTCTAATACTCAAATACAATATGCTAAGCTCTCATATTTTATTTAAACTTTTCACGTAACTCTAGATGAACCACTAAGAGGTTATAATTATATAAGTTCAATGACAAGACTGGTAATTCAATCCCAAATAAGTTTCAACACTACTTGGTAACAGACACTAATGCCTTTTCTTTCCTTTAGGGCACAATTTTTGTAGAAACTGTGGGGCAAAATTGAAATATACGGAGAGTAAAGAAGAAGTTAAATTTGAAAAAATCGTCGGTGATCATGGTGACGTGAATTCAAATGATTCTGGCCTCTTCATGTACATGGATCTTCATGGGCACGCATCCAAAAAGGGAATATTTTTGTATGGTAATCATTTTGAGGATATAGAGAGGAATGTTGAGTGTATGTTATTACCAAAACTCATGAGTATCAATAATCATAACTTTCATTTCAACGCTTGCAATTTTACTGAAAGGAATATGTATCTGAGGTAAGAAATAGCCAAAAATTGTTTTTTGTTATTGCTGTTTATCTCCTACCAAGAAAGCACTTAAGGCAAAAATCTTTAAAAAAGCAATTGCAATTAATTATCTATTACTTACGAACACGTGAAAGTAGCATTGCACAAAGTAATTTTTTTATTATTAGTTTATTTTACCCTGGAGAATCTCGAATTCACTCTTGTTACACTTTATTATTGTGAATTCCATGAACACTGACTCTGGCTAAAAAGTGACCATTTATAACAAAAAAAAACATGAAGATTTTACTATTGGGCAATTTTCAAAGTAATATTCATCAATGTGATTCTTTTATTTTATACTATTCTATTATTTACTCTTCACTGTATTAACAATCCTTATATTTATAGTCTATTTCAAAAGAGTGTAGAGTAATAAAATCTCATTAAGTATTCAAAAGCGCTACAGGGTGATCCGTCAATAAATTCTGTCACTTCCCTAGTCCGCATTGCAAAATTATGTCGTTTCATAAAGAGCAGGTATTGACAATTCCCATGCACGTAAATGTCAATCAGAAATAAATATTTTTTATAAGAATATCTTTATGAGTATAAACTATTTTTTTCTGAATAAAAATTATGTATGTGAATATTGATTTTATCAAAACATAAAAATCTTCTCAGAGTAGTTGAATTCACATCATTGTATGGGGGAACCAGAACTACCCTTTGTAACGAAGTATTCCTGTACACTGTCTACCAAAATCACTCACTTTCACCACTTTCTGAGCTCGGATCTCATCATTCACTATGGCAGTTGATGGCTGGATTTTGAATTGTAACATTAAAATAAACTCCCCTAAAAATATACACACACGTTGGTAGAGCAACAATCATAGAAATAATTAAGAAAACAAAAAAAAACTTCACAAAGAGAATTATAAAAAGTCGTCAGATCAGTATAGATTAGGTCCAAAGTAAGTGGGTCTATCTAACCCTACACTGTCACCTGTGAGTGTTCATTGTGGCTAACACTGATTTAAACTCCACCGAGGTCAGCTTCTTAAGAATGCTGATCAATCTATTTGCTGAATTTGCTGACAGACACAAAGTATGTGCTCTGCTGTCTCATTATCTTCCAAAAAAAAAGACGGTATGCCGGATCTTCCCAACAGTCTTAGTCATTTATCATTCCAGAGATGACCTCTACCTTCATGCCTACAAGGTTCACAGATAATGCTGAAAGGTTCTTTGAATAACTATATTATATGTAGAGCAATGCTATTATTACGTTCTCTGAATTCTCTTTGTGGGTGAATATAAATCATTTTCTTCAATCAATCATTAATTGGATTTTATCGTCAAGGTCAACTTGTTTTTCAGAAATAGAAAATATTCTTGAAATTCATCTTCCACCATACCTCTTGTAACATCGTATCTCTTGTAACATGACATCTCTTTAAACATCAATCCTGGGGATGAAAAAACCTTCCCGAAAGTAGTTGTTTTAGGAGGGCTTTTTCTTCCAGTTTGTATCAAAAAGTACCTTCTATGTATGATCTACACATCTTTGTAAAGGATTGATTTCCTCCTTTCTTTGAAAGTTTACTACAATTTTCGTATAAAGATGAAGAAGTAGAAAGTCAATTTTCATATAAAGAGCTTTTTTATTCTCAAAAACTAATTTCTCATACAAAAATTACCCATTTCAATTTAATGTAGGCAAAGTTCCGGGAATTGGGATTTTTTATTGTAAATTTCCTCCTCTTTCAGAATCTTTTATTTTCTTCTCTTAAGTTTTGATAGTTTTTAGGTTGACTACGAAAAAATTGATGACTTCTACTTCCATCTTGATTTGATAATAACAAATGCAATTTTTTGTGTTTTGTAAAATTATTAAAACATTTCTACATGACATTACGAATCCAATGAGCTATGACTCATAGGAATGTAATTTCTGTTGAATACGAATTTAAAACTTATGAACTAAATTATATACCCTTTAGAAGCTATTGGAAAAAATATTATATTTTTGGGTTTTCCGTTTTAAAGGCATAACCTTTTTTACTGATACCATTATTGCTATCTGGGAAACGGTAGGTCGTACAAGGACGGTTAAATGGAATAAAAGTTACCTTTTTAGGGATGCAACACAATGGTATTTTCAGATCCATAAAATCATCAACGGTTTGTGAGAAATTTGCAAAAAACTGAAAATGACAAATTTAATTTTTTTGCTCTACCGCCTCCATTTTCAACAATATCAAAAAACGACAAAGAAACTTTTTGCTTTATTTCATGTGCTTTATAATCTGGGTGAACTCATTTTTCAATGCAACGTTTCGTTCAGTTGAATTCCATCATCAATATGCATTTTTCAAATACGGACCTGTATATTTTTTATACATTTTCGTAGTCTTTATAATTACAAATTCGCGGATATATCACAACATCTATATTTCCCGACGTTTCTTCCCGAAACCACATCATCACTATAATTTTTTATTAAGTGTTCCAATTTCCGAATGTTACTGAAATCAAGAGTTCTGTCGATAAGGTCGTTCATTGAGATTATAAATATTTGTATTCACTGAAATCCAACTAAATTTCTGTCAGGGTCATCATTCATAATATTCAAATGTCTTTTGAAAATATGTAGCTACCCAAAAATTTCTGTTTAGAAAATGAGGATATCAACAAGAATTAACTAATAAAAATACTGTATTAAAAAAGTCATAGATGATTTTCAAGAGAAACATGATAAGCGATAATTTCTTTTTTTGAGGAAAGCCATGAAATACATGAATGTGAATAATGTCATGTTAATTGTCACACACAAAATAAAAGTTATTCAAATCGTTGAGCGATTTTAAGGGAGAAACATGAATTTTTCCAATGACAAAAAAGTGGATAAGCTTTTTGTATATTCGAAATGTTTGAGGAATGCTACCAAATCTCTGGCAATGTATCAGGAACTTTATCCTGAACGACGACAACCTAATCATAGATATTTTCAACGAATCGAAAATACTTTACAGAATTATGGATCTTTTGAAAAACCCTCCGAAAGAAGATGTACGGTTACTGAATGTGGTGGCGATAATGAAATCGGCGTTTTAGGTGAGTTCAAAGAAGATTCACAATAATGATAAAGTGACATTAATCTGATTTAGGATTTATGGAAATTAAAAAAAATTGAGAACAAGGAAGTATCTCTGAGGGAGATTGCTCATAATTCAGCCATATCCACTACGTTTGTACGGAAAATTTTGAAGAAAAATAAATTCAAGCCTTATCGAGGCAGGAAAGTTCATCATTTGCGTTAAACGGACTTCAACAGGAGAAAAGTTTTTTGTAGATGGCTCATTAGAAAATTTCGCCAAGATAATGAAATTGGTAAAAAAAAAATGTGGTGTGATGAAAGTACATTTACCAATAACGGACGGTTCAACAGAAATATACATTATTATTGGCGACAAGAAAATTAATATTTACATAGAGTTGTTACCAATTTTCAAGAGAGATATGGTGTTAACGTATGGCTTAGTGTTCTTGATAATAAAATTATTGGCCCCCACTTTTTTGAAACATCTCTGACCGGAGAATTATACTTGGATTTCTTATCAGGGACTCTAATTGAGTTATTAGAAGATTTACTACTGAGCCTCATAAGAAAATATGAGTATTTCCAATACAACGGAGCTTCACCACATCACAGGAGAATCTGCAAAGATTTCCTCAATACAACTATGCCAAGAAGGTGTATAGGAAATAATGGTCCTATTAAATGGCCACCCCGTTCACCGGACCTTTCTCTTCTAGATTTTTCGTTGTGGGGCTTCATAAAAGATCAAGTATTCAGAACAAATTTTGAAAAAATTGAAGAATTGAAAGATTCAATAAGGAGTGCTTGCATCGCTATCACTCCACAGATGTTAGAGAACTGTCACAAGCCCACTATTTCTAGAGCAAGTATTTGTTTAAGAAATGATGGAAGACAATTTGAACATTTGATGCGATGTCGCGTGAGACGGTAACTTAAAAAATGTAATGTGAGACATTCCGTTATGGTGTTCATTTTATATCATTTATTATTTCGTTACATTTTCTTTCGCAACTGTTTTTTTTTTCAATGTGATGTATTAACGATACTGTTAACTATGTGTTACAACAATAGTTTGATATCTGATTTCTCATTGAATAAAAAAAGTTAAATGATAGAATATTGATGATGTGGTTTCGGGAAGAAACGTCGTGAAATACATTTGTTGTGATATGTCAACGAATTTGTAATTATAATGACTACGAAAATGTATAAAAAATATACAGGTCCGTATTTAAAAAACATATATTGATGATGGAATTCAATGAACGAAACGTTGCATTGAAAAATGAGTTCAACCAGATTATAAAGCACATGTAATAAAGCCAAAAAAAGTTTCTTTGTCATTTTTTGATATTATTGAAAATGGAGGCGGTAGAGCAAAAAAATAAAATCTATTGTACGGTGATAATTCATTTACTTCATATTTTTTTCACTCTTTTCTTATTTCTCGTACCACCCTGTACATGCAAGTGGTTGCATTCCAGAACACTTGAACCTCTCACGGTTCATCCCTCTCGAGAGAGCGTTGATCGGTTCAATGTATATTAGTAAGTTTTAGTTCCTTCGTAAACAGCAATAGTTAAACATCTGTTTGTTCTCTTTCATATTCACGCATTGTAAAAATATTCCAATACCTGCTATCGAAGTAAATAGTTAAAAGTTGAAGTAGTGTTTTATTAACAAGGTTAACGCTACAAAATTCAGTTTGATCACACAAACAAAATTTCAACGAACTTTGAAGTCATAATTTATAAGTGAAGGTGTTCGTAAAAGGGCACTAGGAAGCGGTAAAAGTGTGTATCGCGTACCTATCGGTGAATCGGAACCAAGAGAGCATCTACAGCGTGGGAATCAAACGGGTGGAGGGAGCTGGCGCGTAGTTTAGACAAGTGGCCACATAATCAACGACAGCAGAACTCCTCGTGCATCGGCAAATGCATGGGCGGCGTACTCGTAAGGGAAATCAACAACCACAAATATAACAAGTAGAAATATATCTACACAAACGGCAGAAAGGGAGATTCAGTGAGTACATTTATCCTTTATCTTTCCAAAACATTACAAGATGGTATAGAAAAACTTGATGGGTCTAATGAACAGCAGGAAGAAAGGTACATTTTTGAAGAAACATATTTTAGAATTATTTCTCAAGCGGAAAGCATTAATTCAAATTCGGTACGAGATAACACCAATACAGGGGGTGTTCAAAACATTGTACAGGGAGGTCAACCGGTAGACAAAAATTTAAAATTACCAACGATGGAAATTCCTTCATTTCACGGTCCGTATAAGGAATGGATGGAATTTCACGACACATTAAATGTCTTAATTCACACTAAAACAGGGCTAACTGGCATACAAAAATTTTATTATGTAAAAAATGCTTTAAAGGGTGAGGCAGCAGAAGTGGTTCGGGCTCTAGAAGTTTAGAAACAAAATTATTTAGAAGCATGGAAATTGTTGAAAGGTCGTTTCGAGAATAAAATCTTATAGCTTTAAGTCATATAGACTCTTTGTACAATTTTCCACAAATAAACAAAGAATCTTTTTCACAATTGAGAAAACTATTAGATGTAACAATCAGAGATATCAGATCTTTGAAATCGTTAGATCAGCCAATTGATACATGGGACACACTCTTGATTTACATATTAGAAAACAAACTAGATCCAATTCCAAAAAGGGAATGGCAAAAAAGTGGTTCAAATAACAAATTTTCCACAATGGCAGAGTTTCAAGAGTTTTTACAAAAGAAATGTCAACTCTTAGAGTCTATTGATTCTGGGAAATCCATTAATAAGTCGGGCGACTTGAAGGGGAAACTAGATCGGCAAAATGCATCTAGGTCTTTTGTCACGGTAGCCAAGCCATGTTCGGTTTGCAATAATAACCATTTTTTGGTCGCATGCAAAAAATTCTAGAGGTTATCTTTATCAGCTTAAAGGGATGAGGTCAAAAGGGAAAGTGCCTGTTGGAATTGTTTGAAGTATGGTCATAAGGTAGAGAGCTGTTCAATGAGCGGTTGTAAACTGTGTGGGGGAGCAAGACAAACGAGTTCGGGAAAGTTCGTTACATACTTCGGAAGGATCATAAGCAAGTTCATCTCATTCGGATGGATCCCAGTCATCCGAGATCCAAAACACATTGCAGAATTATCAATGCACGGTTATCAAAACACCAAGGGATGTTTTATTGTCAACAGCATTGGTATATATTGTTGACAATTCAGGCAATTTTCAGGAGTGCAGAACTCTCCTGGATTTGAGATCTCAATCCAACTTTATGTCACTAGATCTCTGAGAAAAGTTGCGGCTTACAACACAAAAAATTTTTGTTCCAGTAGTAGGCATCAGTCAGGGAATAACAAATATCACACGTTCAGTAAACGCGGTTATTCATTCCAAATCAAACAACTTCAAGTTCAATTCTACATTTCTTATTGTTGATAAAATTTCGGAGAATTTGCCTTCCATAAATATCGAGTCTAGTTTTAAAATTCCAGATAACATCACTTTGGCAGACTTGACATTTGGTAAAAGCATTAAGGTTGATCTTTTGTTAGGAGCAGCAGTTGTTTGGGATTTATTATGCGTAGGGCAGGTCAAATTAGGAAGGAATCAACTTGTAATTCAGAAAACCAAATTGGGTTAGGTCATAGCCGGTCCCATTATGGGTTCACCAGAAATGAAAAATGGTACCGTAGTATGCAATCTTTCGTCAAACATGCATATACAGGAGCAGCTTGAAAACTTCTGGGAGGTGGAAGAATGTCCTCGGATCAAACCTTTTCCAAAGGAAGAGATGGAGTGTGAAATAATATTTCACGAAACAATAACACGGGATGAAAATGGAAGGTTTACGGTCGCTTTACCGTTAAAGGATAATATTTCCGATTTAGGCGACTCGGTAAAAAGGTTTCAACAGCTTGAAAGAAGGTTAGATAAAGACATATGAATGAAGGAGCAGTATCATGGATTTCTCAAGGAGTACAGTGATCTTGAGCACATGACTAAAATTGGAAGTTTGGAGGAGAAAAACAATACTGATATTTCGGATCATCCAATCTATTATCTTCCCCATCACGCAGTGTTTAAGGAAAATTCTTCAACAACCAAGTGTAGGGTGGTATTTGACGAATCTGCAGCTACAGACACTGGGTTGTCATTGAATGATGTTTTGATGGTCGTTACCAATACTTGTCTCAGCTCTAACAGAGAGGAAAACGACATTCTTCTTCCGCAAGCACGTTACTGAAGCCAGGGACAATGGTGCTCGTCAAGGAAGACAACCTACCCCCCTCAAATGGTCATTGGCCCGAATTATCGAAGTTCATCCTTAAGCGAGATGGTATGAGTCGTGCTGGTTCAGGAAGAGTAGCTGTTTTATCTCTAACAGGTATAATCAAAAGTTATACTCTTGAATGTAATTATAATTCTGGAAGACTGGTCAATGTTCTACCTCCAACAATAAGAGAACCTCATGGAAAAATGCATACTATACATGTACCACCTAAGTACACCCCACAAATATTTGAAGAAGTGAGTATATTTCAGAAAATATCCAGTAATCTGTTCTCCACGGTTTTGAAGTATTGTCTGAAACTTCTCCTATTGTTTCTAGGCTGGAAAATCCCTAGGGGCCTCTTTATTAGACTTAACTGGACACAATCCATGCTCCAGACTTCCAAACTCCGAATTCCATACTCTCTCGGGTCTAAAAGATTGGCTGAGAACAATGTCAACAGAATTCAGTAGTGAAAATCGTCCAAAAATGCGAGCGAGGTCTGCATCTTGTCTCTTTTCACAGGTAGGCTCCAGTGATGAGAATGAAGGTGAAACGAATGATAACAAACGTGCAAGCGAGATCTCTGATCATATTCCAGTCTCTATAAAAACTTGTGTCGTTTGTTAATGATTGGGTAAAAACATCCATTTTTCATACATATTCATTGTACCCAACAGAGTAATGCGCAAATCTATGAAATTAATATTCATTCAACACCCTTATCAACATTTTGTGACAAATGACGAATCTACGAATCTCTTAGCACTATAGATTTATTGTATATGTTGGGTAATTTTTTTTACAAATTACTCAAACTTTTGCCATACTTCTAAATTCTTGTACAAGTCATTTTTTTCAGAATCATGCCAAATCCAGTCTTGATACGTATCTCATAACTTATACAGACCAAATAAGAGACAATACGATAGTTTCAAAAGCTTTCAGAACCTCACTTTCTTGATCTCAAACCCCAAATGGTTTTGAGGTATGGTATTCAAAAATTAATGAAAACCACAAACCTTGAAAACAAAATATGATTGAAAAGGGTATATTTTAATACTTTTCAAAAATTACAAGTGCATAAGACATTTTGAAGAGGTTCAATAAGTAAACAAAGTTATGTGCTTAATGCACTAAAAGCTTTCCGAAAAATATAATTAACTGGTTCTGAGAATATTAACCTGTGTTATATTAGTTTGTTTATTGAATATCACTTATTCCTTTCCCAAAAACATTCTCTTTTTAATTTAATGAGTCTTGTTCTGGCATATGTGTTTCAAACATGTCTTCCACTGAAATTAATGTTCCTGTTGACTGAACAATTTTGATAATTCGTCAGTTATGTGATACTAACGAATCAGATTATATTATTGAAAAAGTATGTGCAATATCAGAATAAAAACATCCAGTCTGAAACTCAAAGTTTCCAAACTGGGTGTATCTAGTATTGAATTGTTTTAAATTTTTGGATTTGATCTTCAGTCTCAGCGAATCCGAAAGTATATATTTTAGTACTGGTACATATAAATATCTATGTATTTTATTTATAAAGTTATTCACCAATAGAAGGGAAATATTGGATATTTTACCCAATTATATTCTTGAATCATTTAGGGACCAATAAACATATCAGAACTACCAATCATAATTAATTGTACTTTTCATTATTGTTAACAGCCCGAGAAGTCGCCATAACTGAAAACATTCATGTGTTTTGCTTGATATACTCCTTCCTTAGATCTGTGATTGAATTTTCCATTTATTGTAAATTGCCAATTTTACTGTTGACAGTGAATTTTAATTGTTGACAATATATTTTATTGTGAAAATGTAATAGCTTTAGCTGACATTCAAATTAAATTTTTATTCTTTTTTTAATCTTTTTTTTAATAGTTTCATACTTCTATGCACTCAAAGCCACTATAAATTCAGGAAGTAAACGAATTTTACAAATAATTAATCGCAAAATTAATTGTGAGGTTTATATTTCGAAAATCGTAATTGTGTATTATCGTGAATTAGCCTTTGATTTGAAATTTAAATTTTAGTTGTTACATTTCTACTTTTCAATTTGATCTCCTGAAGTACATTTCTTATTGAAGCAATAGTTGGAATATTATAAGTAATTTACTATTTAATGAATGGTAAATAAGTTTACTTTGTGATAAACCTAAAAGACTAGGTCAACCCCCAAATGAATCAAAAATGCTTATTCTGTTGAGGATTGTGTTAGTAATAACCTAATTTAGGATCTCAATAGGTATCCAGCTTATCAACGAGTCTACATGGATACCACAGTTAAAAATGTTCTATATCTGATCATAGTTTCCTATAATAATACCTTCATAGACTTCTCTACGTGTTACGTTTGAGAATTTAGGTTTATTACCTATGTTTCAGATGTATGAGCCCTGAATGACTGGTAGACCAGAGACCTCCTAGGAGGTTATACAGAAATATGTCTTGTGGAGTTCAATGACTAATGGGCTGAAGATTGTTTGTCATAACAAACTGTAGTGAATACTATGGGTGAAATGTTAAATACTTGAAAATGTTGCATGGTATCTTAGAGAATCCGTTAGCGATACATGGGGAATTGCTTAACTTCACGGGTTAGATTATACATGCCTCTTTCATCCGACAAGCATACTGGCTTGTCCCTCCCCCCTCAACCATATCCGCCATCCGGAAATGCATCTTATGAGTTTTACAGGGAGGTGAAACTGCATTTTTTACCGGATAGCTTTTCTGGTCTATGTCTTCAGAATAAGTTGAAATAAGAGAGTTATTTTTGGAAGAATAAAATTCAAATATGTGAAAACTAGTAAGTGTGTTTGTATGAAGTATGAAGTATTATAGAAATATTTGATTACCTTTCTGCATCTTTTTATAATTTTGTTCAAGATGATAAGGTCCATTTCTAAATAACTTCATAGTATGTATTTGCTACCAGTTGGAATAAAGAATCCAAATCCTTTAGGCATGCACCTTTTGATATGAGGTTTTTTGGTGATCACCCTTGTATTATTGACTTTTTTGTGTATGTGTAACTGAGTGAGTACAAATCCCTATCTTTTCAGATAATCATGAGATATAAGGTATTCCGTTAGTTATGAAAGGTGCTGGTTGTAGAATCTGTGATTGTTGCGAAATGAACACTGTAGCCAAATACCAAAAGTGCAGTACTCTTTTTGACGCACGTTTTACCTACTAAGTTGGCGTATTCAGGAGATGAAGTACACTAATTCCTAACTTCAAAACTGGTCTCAATTTATATCTAACAGAGTACACTCTTTTAGACACACATCAATGATTTCGGGTAGAAATTTTCTTGTGAATGTTTTTAGAGTGTAAGTTTAGAAATTGAAAAACGCGGAAAGAGATCTATGAGCAGTGACGAATGTTCAATACCAACAGCCTGTTGTTTACTCTCTCACATAATAAATACAAGTAGAAATAATTTATAAGTTAGGATATAACAAACTGATAAAATAACTAATACTGAGGGAAAGGCGAAGGAAAGTGTTGTCAATAGGTGAATAATATTATAATTCAATTGTAATAAGTACAAGTAATGCTTTAGAACACTAATGCTATCAGATCAATGAAAAAATTTGTGTTGAAATCAATGAAAAGTACTTTTTTTCAATAAAATATACACGGGTCAAAAATTCAATTGATTTTACAATACAGCAAATCTACAGATAATATAGATTTTAATTTTCTTTCAAAAATTGTTAGTAACTGACTACAAAAAGTGAATTTGTTATTTGTAATTTGTCAAACCAAAGTAATTCAGTAGTAAAAACGTTGTCAAAGTGTAAAAAATCATTTCAGAATTTTATTTCTCAATTTATTTTCGACGTTTTGCATAACTTGTGTATTGACAAGTAATATGTATTATGTTAACCCTATTTGGTTTAAACTTATTCAAGAAGTTATACCTATCTTTTAATATAGTCTTCACACTAATATGTCATATCTGATTACCCCATTCCATTATATGGGTCAGAGATGGGGCCTTCCAATTCATTCAACGGCTTATCTATTGGACACGCATGGAGTCGGAAGGCTTCAGACGATAACCTTGTGTGATGAAACGCGAAGATGTTTTAAAAAAGGTATAAGCAAGACGGCAGAGTCCAATTGGTTAATTGTAATTCAAAACTCTTTTCCCAAAAGCAGCAATATTGATTTTCCAATATGCTACTTTTTCAAAAACCTATAATTTATATTTGCGCTGGCTGCCAATGTCACTGTATTTTATCTTCAATAGGATTTGACATATGACATTCATAAGCTTACTTCATGGAACTTAAAAAATGTGTTTGGAATTGATGTATTGGTTAGCTATCTCTCGAACTTATTTAAGTACATTCTAAAAAGTTGAATTTGCTACTCATTCAAATCAACTATTAACTTCTAAAATATGCAGGGTGTTTCTAACTAATATTTAAGGAAGATATTTTTAGGTCAATTTTGAGAATAAAATTTACGTTAACATATGTACTGAAGGTCATAATTTTTGATCTAAAGAGCGCTGAAATTTAAAATAAAACTCCACTAAAGAATTATAAAAACATTGACTCTTTTTGAAAATGGATAAAATATCAGATGACCAACTAAATACCAGTTTCGTTACTTCCCATTGTATCGAAACAGGTTTTCAGAATATCTACAAAAAATTCTATAATGGTCAGTATGTCTCTCGCAAGTCTAGCGATACTCAGAGCTGGGTTACTTATATTCAGTTGAGAATAGATTCAGGTCATTAACGAGGATCCGTTATTGGGTCTGTGTAAAAAATTGATATTGTTGATCATGTTAAATTACTCAAAAAAATGTACTAAACTAATCTGTTTAAAATCTGTTTTCCGTTAACCAGCTATCGCACCTCTACGAACGACAACCCTCAGAAGTCTAAACTTGTGTGAGCTAAGGACTAACGAGGTCTTACCTTTTAAAGTGTGATTCCTAATATAGGTATAGCTCACATTTGGTTTAAGAAGTGCAATTTGTATATATAGAAGAATCTAAATCTGGACTGAGGAACATTTCATGTGGCATACCACAAGAATATGTTCTGTGTCCTACACTTTTCCTTATATATAAATTAAAATTTTAACTAAATTAACATGATAACCTAAAATTATTTGCTGATGTCGATGTCATAGTTTTGAGGTTAAATGTCTAGAAATTAATTTTGGATTCCCAAAACAGTCATATGTTTACTCCAAAAGGATAATATGATTTTATATGATTTTGCAGTGGAATCCATAATATCAGATTCCATTGATTCATTAAATTCAATTTTCATTCAGATTTCTACCTAATTTGACGAAATACTTTATTCTCATTTCAAATATTGTTTTTCATTTTTTTTTCACTAATCTGTTTGTATTCTTGATTTGTGTATTTGTTGTTTGTTATTGCTCAAGGCAAGATCACCAATCTTAATTCTATTCGAAGATAAAAATCATTTATTGCACTGCCGAAACAACTCCTGGCGCTATCTCGTACAGATAACAATCAATCATGGAGTTTAAGTAGGCCTCAATCAACTAAGAGGGTCAAAAAATTTTGCAAAAGAATTGACCACTTAGTAATTGTACATGACGTGGTATAACTGCTACTGCTAACTGTAGAAGTGTTCTGATGGCTAGGTAAGGAGCCAGATCCATTCTTGTTTAAAATTTGTTTTTCCGTTAACTAGCTATCGCACCCCTTTGAACAACAACCCTCAGAAGTCGAAACTCGTGCGAGTTGAGGATTAACGAGGTCTTACCTTTTAACGTGTGATTCCTAACACGGTTTGGACGATGGCAAGTGAAAATCGATCGTTCAGACTGGGGCTTGAACCACCGACCAACACGGCAGTCAATAAAATGAACTATTTCTGCTCATGTATAAAATTAGGTCTCCTGGATATTCTTTGCATATGAAGGTCTCCTTCTTCAATAAAAATTTGTTTAAACATACTGATGACATTGTAGATGAAAGGAAATTTTCCACTTCTCGAACAAAAAATTACTGCAAACAATTCTTGAAGTAACTTTGAACCCGAATATAAGATATCATTAAGGTGTTGAAGAAGGCTCTCAATTTTCCATTATGATTGACAACAGAATGATGTGGAAGATAATATAGGTAGGATGCATTTGCGGCATTAGCCGTTTCACGTGTCTCAAATTTTTATTTTCTTGCATAAATTTGAAGTATTTAAATCTCAACTCTGGTTGATTAACCAGTCGCTTCTCAGCCCTCAGTAAACACAAGAGGGTAATATTTCTTGAATCAGAAAACAGTTTTTCTTTTCACTTGCAACCTAACAACGTATTGAGCTTCAGAATTTCGAAAAAAAGTTCAAAAAATTTCAACACATTCTTCTGAAACCAATAAAAATATTTAGGATCAATCTTGGAAGACAGAGTGACATAAGCCTTCGATTTGGATACTCCAGAGTATATTGAGTACTCTTTGTGGCTCGTGGTTGGATAGGAGCGAGTACAGAATACTCTAATCCGAGGAAGATTGCCTGTGTTCAAGCTTTCATGATTAGTTTCAATTTCAACAATTTTCCATTAATAACAATAATCAAATAATATCGATCAGAATCGATAGACTGTCCGTCACATATTAACTGACATAAGGTACTGTCTTACCTGGGTTTGGTAGAGCATGACTAGTAAAAACACAGGTGATATAGGAATACTCGGAAACAATGTTAGTAATGTCTACTTGAATTCAGGAATTCTATGCAATTCTAATCAATTCCTTAATCCAGAATGGTTTCAAGAGATGCAGGGTCTGATCTATGTAGAAATTTGATAATAAGCAGTATTAATGAATAACTATGATTTGATAGGTAGAATTGGAATCTATAACGTAAAATGAATCTATTGAAAACACCTTTCCCATACAAGAACATACTGTGTCTATCTTAGTTAGTGAAACGTGCGTCGAAAAACAGTAGGTATTTCTGTATTGATGAAGTAAAAATGTTTTCAATAGATTCACTATAAGTCGAAAGACTTTGGTCACGGTTTCAAAAGCTGTCTGCTTTATTTTTGTTGGGTCGAGAGGAAATGCTATCAAATGGTGCAGTGTTAGGCGCTGTTCATATTTTAAATTTCTGCATTGAAAATTGAGTTGATTTTAATTTAATCAAATAGGCTTTTAGTATTCTTTTATATTATTTATAATGTGATAGGTTTGAGAATCCTAACATATTTTTTGTGTCGTTTTCAAGCAAAAATTTTACATTTTTTCTTTTGGTCGATTTTTATTTAAAAATTATGATTTTTTTATGATTTCGAAAAATCATTATTTTTCCAACTTTGCATAAACGAATGTTTTGAAATGACCGTATGCATGTGATTCTCCACGACCTATTCAGCAATTGTTTTAATTCTGTTTTAAATATTCCCACGCCAAAGCGAAGAGCACAGGCGTATTATTGCTAAAATAGAAACAACTTCCGTCAGAACCGGAAATTCTTTTTCGAAAAATTGCCCATTCAACCACTAATATATAATAATAAAGTATGATCCAACTGCTCCTGGTTATGTGATTCCAAGATTGCATGTGCCTTTTCTTCAATCCAAAAATGATTTTTGAAAAATTTTGGTAGCTTTTCTGGATAAATTGGCTATATTGGTGAATAAAATTTCATTATCAAATAATGGATTTTCATCAACTTTTTGAAGAAATCGTTGGCAAAAGTTCATTTGTAATGAAATGTCACATGCGAACCTCAATCTATTGGATGTTGCAGGGATGTAATAAAAAATTATAAAGAATTTTCGAAAGAAGAATATGTGAGATTCATATTAAAATGTGTTTTACCGTCAATCAGCTGTCGCCCCCATACGATCGACAACTCTCAGAAGTTGAGAAACTTGTGCGAGCTAAGGACTAACGAGCTCTTACCGTTTAATGTGTGATTCCTAACACGGTTGCAGAATCATCCCAGCTTCAACCAAATAAATTCTCTCGAAAAAAATATCTGGTCGAAGCGGGAATCGCACCCACGGCCTTCCGATCGTGAGTCGGGCGCACTACCACCGCGGCCAATTCCATTCAAAGGTCTTCAACTGAACTTGACTACTACCTCAATTACTGTTCTTACAGTGCGTTGTACTCCTCATATGATTGTCTAGTTCAAAATTTTTGTTTTTGCTCAATCTTTCGTGAATGTTTGAAAATGTTTGGGAATCCAGAATATTTCTACTTGGAAAACACTTTTCACGCCTCCACCTGACTTTCAGTGCACTACCATCAGCAAGATTATACAACATTTTTTTTTGGGAAAGAAAGTTTTTGGCTTTCTACTACTCCATCTGATACAAAAAAAAGGGATGAGAGAATCTTCCAAAGAANAAATATTTGGTCATACTAAAGTTATGAAAAATGTTTTTTCATCAAAACCTTTGCACCCTACAGTTAAAGAATGCAGGTTTTTAAGACATGTACATATGATTTTTTTTCTACAAATAACCAATTATTGGCGTTACTGAGAAACACCCTGTAATTTGCTGAGAAAAGTACTTTTACATATTCCCGGTCAAAATTTATCATTTATCTATTTTTAAAGGCTGTTTTGAAAGTTATTTCAAATTATTATTGTCAGCGGGTATACCGTATTCTCAACCTTTTCATATGTTTTTTTGTCTGTAGAATGTTTAAAAATAAAAAAAAGTCAGAATTATTTTTATTCAGTAATAGGGTTGCGATAACATTAAAAGTTTGTTACCTCAATGATAAATTCATCAATATTTCGTAGTATTGTAGTTGATAACAGTGAATTAATCTGATTTTAAATTTCATTTCAAATTATCACTCCCAATCACGATATTTTACCTAAGGAAAAACAAAGTTTTCATAACCCACTATGTGTATTGAAATAAATCATTAGAGTCCAGGCAGTAAATATTTGAATACCCTTTAATACAAGTAAATACCAAAAAAATACTTGAGATGTATAATTGCTCAGCTCAGAGCATAATATTGAGGACCACAATGGTCTGAACCATGTTCAATAAGGTGGATTATTCCTAGTTTTTATTTAAAGACGAAATGGTAAAAAAGAAAATCTGGTCTGACCTCAACTCATAGTGAGTGACATGACCAGATATTGAAAGTAATGGCAAGACTCCATTTTGCAAAATGAATGATGTACTTCAAAACTAACTTTGGTAAGAATTTTATTGCTTTAGGGAAAATCGACACGTATCGCCAAGAACCGCCCTGCAGTCACCAAATCGATCCTAAAGAAACCAAAAGTTAGAAGTGGTGTTAAACCACTGGACCGCAAAGAAAATCTCACTCAGCCTAGCTGTTCAAAATCTGGAACGCGACTCAACAAATGCTTCAAAGCCAAATCACGCAAAGATCTTACTTTAAAGATCAAAAATAGTTCATCTGATAAAGCAAAGTCATTTATCAAGATCAAGAAAAGTGCCAGCCCAGTAATTCCAGAAAAGGTTACCACTAAGTTACAAATTGCCAAAGAGAAGAAACCTATAGAGTCAGACGCAGTGCGTTTAAGGGAAATATGCTTTGTGAAAAATAATGAAGGAAAGCGGGTAATCGCAAAATATGAAAACAAAGATTATGATGATAGTTTGGTAGTGTCCTGGAATAACATGTCCAGTCAACCTCACATATTCACCCACAAAACCAGAGTTTCTTCTGCTCCTGCATTTAGTTCTAATAAAGCTTTATCTGAACCCAGTACTAGCAAACAGGTAAGTGTACGAGCACATAATTTTGCTAAAAGCAGTTCATCCAAGATGAAATTGAAGAAAAACTTGAGAAGGTTAGCAAGTACAACTGACGTATTGGGAAAAATTGAAAAAAAGAAGAAGAAAAAAATTAGGTCAAAGTAGGCTCTGGAACCCTAATGAGCTGCTTAACAGGAAGGTTTGTGTTAAAAATCTTTAGTTCTGCTAATTGAATTCGTGTTTGGAAATAAAATAACTATACTTACAAATTGTATAATCAGGTTTGTTTTTGATATTCTTTTGCTTCGGTGCTTTTGAAGTTGGCAGCTCTGCAATATGAGAATTATTACTGAAAGTGATATTTTTGTGATTTCAGTACAAATATTTTTGTTGTAGTTAATAATTGAGTCCCTTTTATTGAAAATATATTGTAAATAAAATAATTATTCCAAGATATTGCCTTTTATTTAATGAATAGTTTTCGGTCAACATTTTTTGAATCTATTTGTATCCTTTTGAATGTATGAATCCAAAGAGGAAAGATTAAGATGATCTATAGTATTTTATATCTAGATTGTTTTGGTTATTTTATCACTTCCACTTTCTACTTATCTTTTTACCGAATAATGATTACTTTGATATATTCAATGATACAAGTAGAGTATTAGTCACACCCGAAGAAGAGGGTGGGTTGGTAGTTGGCACGGGGTTGTGACTTACAGAGAGGAGATGTGTAATGTTACTGTGTAATATAAACCATTGAAGAGTCCAATTACTCAGTAACTTGTCGTATTAATACATTTTGCCTACAAATTTAAAAAAAGAAGCAATTGAATAAAATTGAATTTCAATACTTTAGTGGTCGACGTTTCGGAAAATAATCTTTTTCCGTTATCAAAATCTAAAATTTACTTAAAAACTTTCGTCTCAAATCGTGAATGACTCTATTTTTTTTGACATATGAATACATATACTGGATACTGGATGTTTTTTAAGAATTAAGTTGGGGTTCACATTTTCGTTTTCAATTTCTCTTCTTAGTAATAGCAACCAGGTACGATCCATTTCCACAGAGCTATTTGAAATACACTTGTTACTTGCTAAAAGAATATATGCACTCCATTTTATAGCGTGATCACCGGATGATTTTAGAATGTGCTCCGCTATCCCCGATCCCGTTATCTGTCCTCTCCTTATATATTCACGATGTTTTCACCTACATAACTTTTTCCTTAGAAGAATCGAAACACAATCTTTCGTTTTTTCAATGATATTTTCGGGTTTAGTTTGTGTCAAAAGAGATTTCAATGTGTTGGTAGTTCTAAAAGTGGTTCTTACATTATATCTATAACGGATGCGTCTTAATTTCTCATACAAACTGGGAATATAAGGTATGACGTTAGTTGTGAGGTATGTGTATTGTAGTAAGGTTTGTGATGATTGTGGAATCTGTATATGTTGTTTATTACTTTTACCAAATTCATTGAGTTCTTCCCACAAACTGCTCCGGATATGCGATTTGCTTCAAAACCGTTTTAATGATAGTTATTTCCTCTTCCAGATTATCAACTCAATTTGACTTATGAATCACTATTTGGAACCTTTGGTGTAGTAATGAATATTACTGGAGTTTTTCCCCAACACCAAATCGTTATTTTTAACACCTCGACACGTGTTTCGATCACCAAGTGATCATCTTCAAAGAGGAAGATTAAAACTGTTTTAAGCGCAGTGAGCCAAGATGACAGCCTTCTGCATCCGTGCGGCTAAGATTTCTGCCTTAGTGCGGCAAGCCGGTATGATTTTAGGATTCGAGAGTAGAGAGGGCATCATTCCACCAAGGACTCCAATTGACAGAGTGGTTTGGATAGAGTCTGCGGAGTTCGAAGAGAAAATCTTGATATTTTATCCGTTTTTTCTTCTCTTTTCGGACGATATTCGTCTCGCCAGGAGCTGAAAACTCAATGACAAATATCATCTTGCTCTGGTGGTCGAGAAGGACTACATCAGGCTTATTAGCTTGTATGAGTCTGAGGGTGGGGAACGAATGTCGATGGATATAGGCGGGGACCGTATATGCTGGACATGCTGATAGCAAATGCATTAGGGTCTCGGGCGCCTTGCGGGAGGCCCTGCACCTTGTGTCAGGAACCTCTATACCCATCGCGCGACTTCGGTAGACTAACGTGTTGAAGACACCATCCTGGCAAGCCATGATAAACCCCTCGGTTTCCGACTTCAGCCCACTCGACCTGAGGGAAGCGAAAGTCAGGCGAGTCTGCATGGTCACGGACCATGCAGAGAAGAAGATCCGAACTCCTGACGAATTTCCAGTACCATTCTGTCATGTAGACACTCCAAACTCAAAAGTCCACAGCCTACCTGTTGTTGGGGGAAGTACAACCGTGGAACGGACGCTTTAGGATTCAAACTCCTATAGCGATGCATCATTTTTCGGGTCTTGACGTCGAGTTGATACAGCTCCTCCCGAGTCCACTTCACTACTCCAAACGAGTAGAGTAAGATTGGAACGGCAAGCATATTTGTTGCAGCAACTTTGTTCTTCCACGACAGTTCCGATGACAAGATCTGTCGAAGTTGTCTTGCCGCGGAGAGAGTTCTTCACTGCTGTTACCTCTTGTGAGTGGCGTTGTTCCACCCCGAGGTAAGTATACGTCTCTCCGGCATCCAGACGGTGAAGGATGCTTTTATCTACGAGCTGCACATCCTCTCCGTAGTCCCCGCATCGTCCTCGTTTGAAATGGACCATTGCACATTTGTCTATCCCGAATTTCATACCGATAGCATGCGTGTACTCTTCCACCACCCTCAAGGACTAATGGAGATCCTTCTCTTCAGAGGCATGAAGTTTAAGATCATCCATATAAAACAAATGGGTGACCTTGTGCCTCAGGTTCCCGGGGGTGGGGGATGCCACAGTTATACCCTCGAGTATTTCTGAGCGCAACGGATAATGGCAAAAGTGAGATGCAGAAGAGAAGGGGACTGAGGGAATAGCCCTGAAATACACCCCTTCTGAAAGTGACCCACCCTGTTTGGACTCTGGCTTGACCAGATATTATTATTATTATTACTATTATTAATATTATCATCATCAATATATCTCCAACAAATCTTTAGGCAATTCTGGTGAGTTTCGATGTATGTTTTCTCAAAATGCTCCATGAAAGTGTTACTCATAATCGGTGGCAAGGATGGTCATTCTAAATTCCTGTTGATGAAAATACTCTTTGAACTGGAAAAAAGTTTTATCGATAAATAGTTTCAGAAGCTCCAAAATAGCTTCTTCATTCAGTTTTGTTCTATTTTTTAGATTACTATCATTTTCTAATTTAATTCTTACAATTCATAAGGTTTTATCAATCAGAACATTGGTGAACACACTCACAATATTGAAACACACCAGGAGATCTACGTTTCAAATTTGTAATTCATAAAGTTTTTTAATGAAATCAGAAGTATTTTTTATGAAACTGTTTCTATTTCCAGACAAATGTTTCAAAATTTTGGGAAGATATTTTGTGAGTTTTTAACAAAGAGATCCGATTGAACTGACAATTGGTCTCCGAGGACAATTTTGTTTGTGTATTTTTGGTAAACCATAAAAATATGGAGATTTACTCTAGTGGGAAATGAGTCTAGTATGTTCTGTTCTGGTGAGAATGTTTTTGTGTTTGGCTAGAGTTCTATATATCTTTTGTTCCACCGTTTTTGTTGGATTTTCTTTCAGTTTATTGTAAATATTCATGGTTGACACAAATCAAACCCAAAAGTACGGTTGAAATAGAAATATTGTATTTACAATATACCTTGTTCCTGTTGAAAAAGTTATAAAGGTGAAACCTCAAGACACCTAGATATAAGAAAAAATAAATATAGTTAATATATAAGGAAAAGACAGATAACAGAATTGGGCATAGCGAAGCGTATTCTAAAATCATCTGGCGATCACGCTATGAATTGGAGTTAAACAAGATTTATCACTAAAGAAACCTATGAGAAAATTAGAATGCTCCAAAGAATCCGCATATACTCTTTCAGCAGGTAACAAGTGTATTTCAAAGGGCTTTTTGGAAATGGATTGTACTTGGTTACCGTTGCTAAGAAGAGAGGCTGAATACGGAAATATGAACCTTAACTGAATTCTTAAAAAAAACATCCAGTATATGTACGTCAACCACTAAAAAGTATTGAACGAAGTATGGAATAATTGGGCTCTTCAGTGGCAAACTTTTCAGTTTGCCCTTTATTACACTGATTCTCTTTTGATTCAACTTTGTTTATTTTTCAGGTTGTGAAAGGTTATATACCCAAAAAACAGTAAGATGAATTAATAAAAATATATTTCAAAGAATATTATAATTGAATTTCAATGATCAAAGATTGAAACTTTTATTCAAATGATGAAAATATATTTGTAAGGATAACTAAAGCTGAGACTTTTTGATATTGGCAAATCTATGGCTACTTGATGAGTCCAAAAGTTTCAGAGTGGGTTAAATTGGACACTTTTAAAGGGAAACTCCTGTTTTCGAACAAGATACATGAAAACTGATGGCTGTAACTGAGGGTCAAATTTTATAAAACTGCATTTCGATATCTATCATCGTTTCTGAGTTACAGCATAGCTGTAACTTTTTTCGTGTCAAAAGTGTCTATTTTCTATGAAAACATTTCCAAAGCACTTTTTTGCAAAGAATTCGAGTGTAAAAACTCAAAACTATTTTTTTTAACGAGACACCCTGTATATTCCTGCATATTTTAATAAATCAAAATTACCTTTCCAAAAATGTAGCACACTTGATGTTTTGCTAGAATGATCTTTGAAATACAGAGTTTTTTAGTTTTTCACTTTGAAACACACCCTTTGATCAAGTAGGATTTGGAGGATGCGGCGATAAAACAGAACGCAAATCTTTACTGGTAGCTGTCAAATTTTGATTCAAGCAGTAAACCGCTCTGCAATTAGTGGTTTTTATTCAATTTTCAAACAAATTCACAATGAAGCATAAGAGTTATGAAAAATGGTATATGATAGCCTATTTTATACAAACTGAGGAAAATACAAGTGTGCTATTATATTTTTGAAAAGGTAATTTTAAGCTCTATTGAAGTTTGTAGGAATATACAGGACGTCTCATTAAAAATAGTTTTCCGTCAATAACTATTGATATCCCGTTTGAAAAAAATTAATTTTTTTTACACCATGAAATTCTACGTAAAAAGTGCTTTCGAAATGTTTTCATAGAAACAAGAAATTTTTGACAGG